GAGGATGAAACTTTCCACATGATAAACACTTACCAAACTTCATCTCACCTTTGTGATTTGCTTTGTAATCCCTTGTTGAAACGCCTTTCATATTTACACGACAATAGGATTCACCGTTAAATGAACGCAAGTTCGATTGACCCTGAGATTGTAGTTCATCAGGACGACTAAGCAAAGTATTAGAAATCTTCATCGACTGGATGTCTAGTTCATTCACTGCTTCATAGTTAATACATGCAGTTCTAGCATCTTGAAAGGAACAGTTCGGCATTCTTAACAGCTCTCTTTCCAAACTCGGTATGTTAATTCCTGCAATTAAACGATCTCTCAGTTGTACATGAAGTTGATCTCCGAAATTACACTTGGCTGCTTGTTTCTGCAATTCAAGGATGAATTCCCGAACTTTTTGATCATTTTGACGAATCATCTTATGAAATTTCTCCCTTTCACGGCATTCAAAACTGGTGCATTTTACATGATTTAATAATAGCTCTTTAAGAGTTGCATAAGGAAGTGAGATAGGTTTTTCTGATTATGCCAAAGTTTTTAATAAGCTGTAAGCTTCTCTCCCAATGAATGCCAGGAAATGTGCCACGATTTTATCACCTTTGACATCTTTCTTAGTCATGCTCCAGATTTCAAAACTTTCCAAATAATCCTCAGATGCTTCCGAAGTTGAATGAATATCCAACTTTTCCATTGCAGGTTCCATCACGACGCCAGTATAATGTTTCGAATTATTTTAATTATAGCACGAACTAAGAGTCCAAGAAATAACGCAATTGAATTAAGAAGACACAGGCACAAACGAATGTACTGTATTTGGAATTCGAAATCGTACCATCAACCAGTACAATAGTATCATTAGTTCGTTCAAACACCACACTGATCTACGTTTTTCTGCTGTGTACGTAATGAAACAGTCATCATAGAACTTTATGTCGTCAACTGAGTCCAAGGTATCAACTGCACTACGTGTTTTCCTGTGATGAGGAAGTCCTTATTGTAAAAAACCTTTGCAGCAGAAAATAAACGATTCCGTCGACTGTAGTTTACCATTAGTGATATCCTATTTTTCACTGATTTTCGGCAAATTAGTTGTGCTCAAGCGTCAGAAATGCCGTTTTTAGTGTTTTGACCATGAACATTTATGTTCCCGGAATAAAAATCGAAAAACAGTAAACCGTATAAGGCGAAAAACAGAAGTAGAAGTTTCGTGAAGGAAACTTATAAAAACTATCTTAACCATTTATTGAAAACTGAAAATTGACGAATATTTTTAGGCTACTCGTAATTTGAATATGGTTTTCCTCCTTGTTTGCTTGTGGGATGTAAGTGTTTCAATCTACTGTCATTCAAGAGTAGACCAGATTAAAATTTTAAATGAAGCTATGATAGTAGTGCGATACCTCTGCAGTCCCAAGTTCTACTAATGTTTTCTTCCCAGTATCTTGCTCAGACTTCATTATTATCAGCGTTATATCAAATAATCTTAGTTCCAAATATTTCCAAAGAGACCATCGACTATCTTTTCAGTGACCTAAATCTCTGACGCTTGTCCTAAATATGCGGGGCTGTATAATCCAGCGTCTGTGCACCTTCTACTTTGCCTGATTTCTTTTATTGTTTATTTGACGAACACTGATGGAAGGTACGAGTGCTGTTCTAAAAACAAGTGGCTATATTCTACTTAAACGTTTTTCGGTGTGTCATGTCCACTTATTCAGCTGCTCGTACTTACTTACACCTGTTACTCATCAAGGAACATAGGCCACCCACCAGAATTCTCCATCAAACTCTGTCCTGGAAAATCATTTCCACTTGTTATTCATCCTTTTCACGTTTGCTTCTGGTTCCCGACACAGTGTGTTCTTCGGCTTTCCTCTTTTCTATTTCCCTTCAGGATACCAAGCTAACGCTTGTCTCGTGATGCAGTTTGTTGATTTGCGTGGTGTGTGTCCTATCCACTCCCAACATCTTTTCCTCTTCAGTTGGAAGTTGGTTTATTCTACCCCTCGGTAGCTTGTTGATGATGATATCCGACCGACGGACATTAAGTATCTTATGTAGACCAGTGCTTGTAAATTCTTGTACCATTTTAATGATGGTTGTGGTAGTTCTCCAATTTTCAGCTCCATACAGTAGAACTGTCTTGAAGTTTGTATTGAAGATTCTGACTTTGATGTTGGTTGACAGTTGTTTTGAGTTCCATGCATTCCTCAGTTGTAGGAATGCCGTCCTTACTTTACCAATCCTTGTGTCTACAACTTCATCGGATCTTCCTTGTTCATCGATGATGCTGCCCAGATACGTGGCAGTTTCCACCTCTTTCCATCAAGTGTGATTGAGTTAGTGTTCTTCGTGTTGTATTTGATGATGTTGATTTATCTATTGTGTATGTTGAGGCCGACTGATGCAGAGGCTTCTGCTACACTAATTGTTTTCCACTGCGTTTGTTCGTGTGTATGGAATAGACGATATGATGCTCTTGATACTGATTAAAAGTTTATATAATTTGTTCTTGACTATCTGTCATATTTTCTGTTAGCACGTCAGTTACACTATTTAGTTCTGTTATATTGCTTTCTGCGATCACGAACAAGTTGAGCTCAGTTATTCGTTCTTGCTTTCTTAAGGGTAATACAAGGGATTATATACATGGAATATTCTTTGAACTTGTCTTTTTTCTGTGGCTTTCGCTTGATCTATGTTGTCGTTTTAGGCCTAAATTGTCTTCTTTACTTACTCGTTTTCTCTTGCATATTTTGTTTGTATCTCATCTTTTCGTGCTTGTTTGAGCTGCTATTTCTTTCTATACCCTTCTCAAACTGTGTACAGAGATTCATTTTTGGTCAGTGCGTATAGCAGTCCAGCACCTCGTGTCATACTGGGATCATTATCTTCTTTGTCCGTTTCAAATTGTTCTTCTCACCAGTTTTGACCTTTTCTAAGAGATCTTGTAGGAATTGGAGTGTGTTGCAGGTAGCTATCTTGCTATCATATCGAATATATCTATGTCATCTGACGACATTCATAAGGGAGAAAACCTCGACCAACTTGAGCAAAACCAACTACATTGATCAAGTTATTTTTCTCGAATACATTAGAATGGACATGGAGGACAACCCTTTTGAAATAATCTGTTGAAGACTATACACAGGAACAATGATACCATTGAGGGCCGAACTATCTGCTTCTAGTTCTGATTCTAAGATTATCTAAGTCTGGAGCTTCTGTTGTTGCTCTCATCATCAAATGTTAGTCTATTGTGTGGGCTTGCTGGACCACCATCTCACCTTCCCTTTTGTCCATCTCTTTTCTAGCCCTTTGCATTACTACTTGCTGATTAAACTTGAAAGGTTACTAACATATCTTCTTTAAACTAACCCAGAGCAATGTGATGACCGTTCCTTCGAAAAATGTACATGAGGTTAGTTATGGATTGTCCCTCCCAATAAAAGCGGTCGATCAAATGCATACATTGAGAAAGATTGCCGCGGTTATTAACCGTACTCACACCATAACAATTTATAATCCCTCTCTTTTCACTCGCATGTTTTCCCTCTTGTCTTTAGTATCTATTCGGTTATTTTCCTCAAAAAGTAATTTAAACTCCACAATTTCTAAAATAAGCAGTCAAGTGTTACTACAAGTTATTATCCCAGCTACTATAGGGCAGGTCACACCTAATGACATCCAAAAGATCTGTCCTCAGTGAAAAGTCCAACTCAATTAGTACTATAAGTAGTGGTATAGTTAGGATAATCTTACCGAACGCAAACAATGAAATCAAGACACGACCATCGAGACCTTCAGCTTTACACCGAAAGCAACCAACCAGTGTAAAACTCTGCTGTCCTGCCGACTACATGAGATTAGAGAGAAATTATTATGTATAGCGAAGCTTGAGTAGTCGTTTGACAAAGTGAAAATTGACCAAGAATTTTAACTTCAGATTCATCACACCGAAACCAACACCCATTCATATAGATAAGGCTGATTGTCCTATTGGATGGCTTGACAGAAACAGTAAAGCAAACCAACTGTTGCTCGAGATGTCTAATTAAGAATGCTAAGTAGAAGTTATAGAGGACTTTGTGAAACCTAAAACAATTATCTCCATTTCCGCTCTGTGACTTATTAGGTAGTCGGTTTATGTTAATCCTATGTTGCCCTGTTTATAAGTCTGTAACCTATTCCTTCTTGCAGCACTCTACATGAACTTTTAGAAAGTAATAACACACGAACATGACCAATCAAGTTATCACAAAACAGAGCACAACAGTGATTTTCACTGACATATTGAGATTTAACTTTCTTTTAAAAGTTTTTACATGTATGCACAATTTAAATTAACCTTTTAAGTACTTCGTGAGCATTTAATATCTGAGAAACGTAAGACTACATTACATTGGAACTGATTCTACAGAACTACAATATAATCAAAATTTACTAATTAGGAATCCGTGCCGGTTAATTAATCCATCAGACGGTGTGTTGTTTTCGTCAGTAGTATAACACTGTCACAGTGTTCCTGAGTTTTCTGGAGACCAATTAATTATCTTTAAGAAAAACATTTGAACGAAATGAAGATTCAGTAAATTACTTTTATTCAGAGAAATATTTTGGTTTCTTTTCAATAGATAGAAGAAAAATCATTATTAAAAGTACAATCACAGTGCTGATAGAGGAAAAATTACAAGGATAAAAAATATATAGTCGAATAAACTTAAGGATAAGTAGATAAATGTATACATGAACAAAAGGGAGAACCATACTAAGTTCTTTAAATGATGGATGGTCCTGGTTTACGTTGAATATGCACATTTTTCATAACACACCAGTTATTTAACAGGTCCGATTTAAGAGATTATAAAGCACACTAGTTAAGGAGTTTGAAACCTGGTGTATGTATCAAGCATTATATATATATATATATATATATATATATATATATATATATATATATATATATATATATATATATATATATATAGTCACTAGAAGAATTGTCTACTACTATTAGATGGGATCATTAAAATTGACTGATTAGTTATATCTTTATTTGGATCAAACATTTCATTATCCATTAATACTTCTAGTTGCTCATTTAACAAAGTTGGTGAATAATCATAAATAGATGATGAATGCTCTGTACAACTGGTATTTTCTTCTTTGTAGACATTAACATGTCTAGACGTTGCTAAAGACTGTCCATGAATAATATCCTGCACAGAATGTGGTAAAGAATCAGACACTTGTTCCAGCTGGCCTAACAAGGCTGTAGCACGAATTATAGAGTCTTCCAGTGGAATCTTCATGGATAGTTCATTCACATGCTAAATTTGTCACAAAAACATTTACGTAATATTAACTGCTTGATAATAAAAAGAAAACCAACATGTTCCATAAACTAGTACATTAAATGTAATTATAAATGAATTGCTTATAAAAATGGCATCACTTCATATGGACGATAATAGTTTGTGAGGCTACAAAGGCTGACTGAATTTCATATATATATATATACGTAATTTGAGCATTGTATACAACGTAATACTTCATACTTCTATGCTGCATTTAAATATCATTACGAAATCAACATGTCGAACGTTTTTCTAATTACGTCAACTCTTTTACCGTGTAATACAATTTTTGGTGATTTATTTTTATAAAATAAACTAACCTTTAATATACTGTTTGCATCATATTTTCTATTCATGATATTATCTCTTTGAGTCAAAAGTATGGCGGCAGCGAAAAAGATATGGAAATTCTTAGTCCGATAATCTGTCCAAAACGCCTAGAGAAAGCATTACACCAAAAATGATAACACTATTAATACAGAATGGAAAGTCATGAACGGGTTTGACACTTGTCATTAACAAAACTCACTTGTAAATATAAGCATATCAAGGAAACGTGAGACTTCAATTTAATTTCAAATTAACTGGTTACAAAGTAGTAGCCAATGTTATGCTTATCTAACTCATAACGCTGATCGAATCCTATTAATCAAGTTGAATTCTAACTACTAGTCTTCATGAATGGTCAGGAAACCATAAACCTAGGTTTTATTCAAAGTTAAAACTAGTCGGCGTAAATTGATAGCAATCTTGAGGGAACTGACACGGGAATTGCTATAAATCATTGACCACCCAGCGTAAATATCTCAGTTTTACAGGATATCAGTCGAAGCCCGAATATTATGAAACTTGATGATCCAAACTTGAATTTCACACAGGACACAAGTTCCGGATTTCAGGTACTACTTGTTAACAAGTATCAACTAGCGCGAAACATAAGCTCACAGTTTTATGTCAAGTACCTGATATCGAAATCGCCTTCATAATGAAAACCTGATTAAACTACTCTGTGTACATCAACTGAGAGAATGAAAATATGAGTATCTAGGATAGTATACTAGACGCAAAAATAAAACTGGGCTAATGGAGAGGGTAGTATGGAAATATAGTCCTTGGAACTATCGTACGAAGGACAATTTTTACACTTTTATTGTACAATTAATAAAGGTTTGAACTGTAAAAATTTTTTTAATTCTCCTATTTTTTAAATTTCGTTTTACCCATATATCGCTGTCATATACGTTATCGTTCCAAATTTACCATTAATTAATTATTTTCTTATTACTCCGATTTATAAGCAAACAGTGTAATTACCTAATTGTGTTGCTGTGTAGTCAGGTATATTGTATAGATTCTGAGTCATGACAGAATGAATTACAATAAAGGACTGATCTGCTTCCTACCTACGTCTTTTGATTGGACACTAGGTTAGAAGGATCTCGAAGAGTAGTAAGCTTTAAGGTCTCGGTTGTTCTTAATTGGTAAATAGTTCGCCGATCCTGCTGGCAATATAAGCTAAATAATCGGTAGTCGAACTAGAGAGGAAGAGAGAGAGGATAAAACTGCTCTGTTGTTATTAAAACTTGGTCACACGAGACCTCAATAGAACTCAACCATCCACTTGCTTGTTTTTTCCGTTATGCCAAAATATCTTCAAGGTTTTCTATATTTTAATATTTTATTGGTTTCATTTTATTTTGTTCTTCGGTTCTCCATAGCCATTGATGGGTTTACATTTTCAGATGTTTCAGTTCATCTCCTCTGTGTTGATATAGAGTATGGGCAAGACAAGCCAACGCAAAATTTCCTTAAAATCTTACGACATTTAGCATGTCAGATTAAATGAAAAGAGCCTAATATAATTACAATTATGTGAGGATATAGAGAAATAACAAATAACTAATAAGTGGTCGTAGATGGTATACTCTACCTGTAGCTCATCTAGGGCTACTGCCAGTCCCGAGGTCGGGTAAAGGAGGGTTGGGCACGGGGTCGGCAACCCTACCCCGTAGAAAAAAACCTTGTTAAAAAGCGCTAACCAGATTGCAGGTGGTTGTATACCAATTAAAATAGATTTCAAAACGCTGAGTGAAGTAAATAAACATGTTTTAGTAAATAATATAATCATCAATAACAAATGAAGAGTTAGAAAAATAGCGAAACGTTTTCGAAATTATTAGTGTATAACTTATGTAATTACAAGGAAAATAACCAGTTTAGAAAATTAACAAAAAATAAACGAACAACTTATACATGAATTCGTAGAAACTATTGAATTAAAAAATTAAAACAATTATTAACATATGATTAATTTAACATACCTCCCATAAAGTCATAGTATCTTTGTATGAGAATTCTCGTTTGAAATGAATTAACAACCAGCGAAAGCAAAACGGCATTTCTTTGGCACTTTTTGATTCTGTAAACATTTATTGTAGAAATTTTAATAAAAATAAGATTTATAAGATGTTAATTGATTACCAGTTTACGTAAATGAACAAAATCAAAGTATAAAAACAATACAAAATTTTATGTGATATTAAATGATAGTATCCTTCCAAACATATTCAAAGTAGAGTTTCTATGTACTAGATGAAAATTCGTAAGTTTAGAATTATTTAAAATGAGATTTAATTTACCAACTAGAAGTAGATTACATCGAGGAAGCCATCTGCTTATAAAATTGTATTAACTTTGTTATGTTAATGATTCATGGAATGCCATCTATAATACATTCAAGTCAGTTGCAAATTGTTAGCTAGCGCTACAATGTATAATCATAACGATTTCTAGACACGCACTGACAATAAGATCAGGTATTAATGTTCTACTACATTTTATTACAAGTAAAAAATTAATCTTCAAAGGCTTACTTATATTGGTGAAATCAAGTATTGAAATTCATTTAGATTAAATGTGGTTACGGGTTTATATTAACTAAGATAATTATACGTATGTTATGCTAACAGCTAAATAGATTTACAATAATCTCAAAGATTTAGATATAGTGAATAAACTCAAGTTTGCAGAATAAAAGTGATAGAGCATTAAACTATCAACTGTGAGTTAGATTTCTTGAAGATCCACAAGAAAGAAAACTACACTTTTTTGGTAACACAAGTGTGACATAAAAATAAACATACTGAACCAGATGAACACTTTTTAAAATCCTAAAACACCGTATTATCCAACACAAATACTCTACATAATCGTCTTTTTCATTTCTTTAATATTTAAAGTTATTCTGTTTTAAAATAGTTATCGAAACTATATATATATATATATATATATATATATATATATATATATATATATATATATATATATATATATATATATATATATATAGGGTATGTTTTTAAAAGTAATAAAAACAGGGAAACCATCCAGTTTTGTTTTACATATATAGCAGTTTCAACAAAAGTATTTAGCCATCTATTTTAAGTAATAAACGAATATACGACAAACTGTTATTTATTGTTAGAAAAGTCTATTATTGATTAGTCTATAAAGTCTATTAGTCTATAAAGTTATTGATAGATAATAAAGAATTAAAGTAATGGACCGATAGATTTGATCACCATCGAAAACCTGGTCTAACATTGGTCAGTTCATGGTTTCAACCAAATTTAAAAATTCCCAGTCTCAAACTAACACTTTGAGGAACTCTTGAATATACCAACTCCATTGAATCCACTGAACATCGGAGCAGCGCACACAGACCGTCGAACAGATGTTACTCCACCAAAGATCGAAGAAATCAGGATGACCACCACATAAATCAAGAGAGAGACCTGACAATATACAAACAAAAGCACTGAAGTCAGACATAGAAGTAACTACAAACATGCTCCACATTCTATTCAGGAAGATTTGGGAAGAAGAGCAAGTGCCAACTACAGACTGAATAAAACGGCACCTCATCAAGATACCAAAGAAAGGAGCAAGTTTGAGAACTACAGAGGCATCACACTACTATCAGTACCAGGAAAGGATTTCAACAGTGTTGATGAACCGGATGAAAGACTCAGTAGAAGCACAAATTCGATATCAACAGTTAGGATCCCGTAAGGATTGGTTGTACACAGACCAAATCGAGGTGCTACGGATATTTGTTGAACGAGCAGTTAAGCGAAACTCGTCACTATACATCAACTTCCTTGAATATGAGAAAGCATTTGACAGTGTGCATAGAAGAATTTTATGAAAAATTCTTCGTCAAAATCATCTGAATTCATATGACGGAATATTGTGAAACGTCTCGTGTAGAGGACAGCTGACATGCATTCCAAGTGAGGATCGAAGTCAGACAAGGCTGCTTACTCTCCCATTTCTTTCATCTGGTGGTCAACTGGACGATGAAGACCTTCACACCTGAAGGGAAGCATGGAATATAATTGACAGCTTCGACACACCTAGATGATTTGGACTTCGTAGGTGACTTAATCGTTCTGTCCCATACACACGAACAAACGCAGTGGAAAACAATTAGTGTAGCAGAAGCCTCTGCATCAGTCGGCCTCAACATACACAATGGATAAATCAACATCATCAAATACAACACGAACGCAATCACACTTGATGGAAAGAGGTGGAAACTGCCACGTATCTGGGCAGCATCATCGATGAACAAGGAATATCCGATGAAGTTGTAGACACAAGGATCGGTAAAGTAAGGGTGGCATTCCTACAACTGAAGAACGTATGTCAACCAACATCAAAGTCAGAATCTTCAATACAAACGTCAAGACAGTTCTACTGTATGGAGCTGAAAATTGGAGAACTATCACAACCATCATCAAAAAGGTAGAAGAATTTACAAGCACTGGTCTACATAAGATACTTAATGTCCGTCGGTCGGATATCATCATCAACAAGCTACCAAGGGGGAGAATAAACCAACTTCCAACTGAAGAGGAAAAGACGTTGGCAATGGATAGGACACACCACGCAAATCAACAAACTGCATCACGGGAAAAGCGTTAACTTGGTATCCTGAAGGGAAATAGAAAAGAGGAAAGCCGAAGAACACACTGTATCGGGAACCAGAAGCAAACGTGAAAAGGATGAATAACAAGTGGAAATGATTTTCCAGGACAGAGTTTGATGGAGAATTCTGGTGGGTGGCCTATGTTCCTTGATGAGTAACAGGTGTAAGTTGGTACACACCAAAACTGAAGATTAACAGATGTGGTCAATTCCGTAGACCTAACATTTAGAAAGAAAGAGAGCAAACAGTTTATAGAGAATACTTATAATTAAGGAAATCTGGATGACTAATGTTTAGCATATGTGCCTTTGAGGCATTGCTAGTGTTTATTGAAACCAAAAACTAAGGAATTCGGAGATTAGGATACTGGGTAAATATGCTATATCATTTGATGACCTTTTTGTCGACTGAGGTGGTTGGGAGAAGTATTATGCATATTTAATCACTGCTTACCTACACTATTGATGATAGCTATTGTGGGAGTAGGTTGGAAAAAAGCTAGGGGTGGCTAAACTACAAAATAACGTAAGTCCATGAAGCCATTAGCTGTTAAACTGGGGTGTTTTGGTAGATGCAAATAACGTGGTCAAAGTCAGCACGGTAGTTTTATTTAGTGGTTAAAAGTGTTAGATGGTAAGCCTTTGAAGTGATCTCAATGGTGGAGTTTTATTTACTGTGTTTTTCCTCAGATACAAAGTTTTTCTTTATTTTAAATTTTCCTATTACACGAATTCTCATTTTCCAGAACCGTATTTTTTATGCTTAATCTTCTCAATTACCGCCAATACTGTTACTGCTCTAGATTGCGGTTGCGTTATTGGAGTGTGGCAACTTGAACTGATGTATATGCATGCCAGCTTTCACGTTACACATGACTCACTGACTGTTTAGGATTTTCGATATTCTTAGATAATAAAACAAAAAAACACCCAGTTGTTAATAAGTCTTATAATAGAAGAGAATCATACGAAACATTATTCTATAGATATTTCAGGTAGGTTTACGAATTACTGGTAGAATTACATATACGTATCAAAATGCGATGGGTATGTGAGGGCATACAGTCAGTAGATAATTACAATCTAAAGATAGATACAAGTTGCTTTTTAAAATTTCGGTTGTAAATATTTTTTCATAAGTTATATTTCCTGGAATATTTTATCTTGATGTTAATAAACTTGTCATTAATGTAATAAAAATTACCAAGATATTCACTGAAAGTTGGATCAACTATTTCAATCAGTGAAAATAATTGATTAAATTGTTCTCTGACTGCATTGAGTTCACCATTGAAATTAGACTCCTATAATAAAGAAACAGAAAATTTTCTAATATATACAAACATTGATGTACGTTTATAATTCTGGATCATTTATATATGAAAAACTTACTAGTCTATTCATTAAACCAACAAAACACCAAAAAGAATCTTCTTCATCTTTAATAACATAAAGTATTAATGCGAGTAAATCATTCATTCCTTGAAAGTAACCTGAAGCACAAACATAAATACAAAAAACAAATATGATTGAATTAGGTGGTTATGAGAACAGATTCAAAATGTTTAACAAGAATCAAGAAGTGTTTTAGATTACTGTTAAAACGGCATCTCTTAGACATATCCAAGAAATAAAACTGTCTACATTTTCATCATCAATGTTCACAATTTTTAATTGTAAGAATGCATCTTTAAAAGAATTGAGGATATTTATAATTATTCTCCCTTTTCATTTTAGTCAGTATTTCATCAGCATATAAGTTTGAAGTGATATTTTAAAAATTATTATTAATCAGAACACAAAATGAATTGTCAGAGCGATTTTCTCGAAACTATAATCTGTTCCATCTCATTGATAATTCGCTTGATTCTATTTTCACTTTTGTTTGGTTGATGTAAATCAAGAGATTAGGGAAGTGTGACCAAAGTAGTAGGTCATTAGAATAAAACCAACTATTTAGAAAAAAACAAAGTAATCATGCAAATAAACAATTAATCAATGAAAAGTCTACATATTGGTTGATGACTGAATGCAATCGGTAGGAAGTCCATTGTTTCATTAGGAAGATTTATTTGCAATCACAAGATAATTAATGTTGTTTGAGGATATGAACTCGCATCATTTTCTGGTGTCATAATCAATGGCGTTACCATTGAAATATTCTGGTTGTGATTGACAAACGGTAAGATCAAAATATTTACATCAATCAGACATTGAGTAGTAGTTGTCTAATTCAATGTTTATAAAGTTCGTTCAAACTGTTTAACTAATAATTCCCAACTGCTAATTCACTTTGCTCATTCAACTTCCAATAAAGATGAACAGTGAACTAAAGTCGGTTAATTTAGTTTTAAAAGTTTTTCGAGATAAAATTTAATCAATATCAAATACTGGACAATAATGCATTAGTTAATGGCTGATTAATATAGACCTAGACAATATATGCAGTAGTTCAGTTGTGTCATTTAATGACTTTAAAGGTTTGTACATTATCTCTACAACTGAATTGGATATGTGCAGTTTTAAGGAAAGCAATGTCGATAATAGTAAAATAAATGTTTAAGACAATTAATCCATTAAGCTACCATTGATATAGATGGAAAACAAGTAAAAACAGTCTGTGGAGGTGTACAGAATTTGGCATAATTAGCAAGACCATAGATTAAAATGAGCAAATATTATTTTGTGAAAATATGATTTGTTAAATTACATTGTGTTGTTTTTTGCACACTTGTTTATCATTCTAAAGTGGATGACTATATTTCCTTTTGTCTTAGGAGTGGAGCTCGAATTAAGAATAACTGAATGCCAAATTTACGCACCGATCACTACTGGAAGCTTTGTTGATTCACTTAATACCGATGGTGAATGATTTGTGGACAAAAACTTAAAGAGTAGAGAAACAATAACTGTTCAGAATGTTCTCTTGTAAAATCGCAACATTTATAAATGGCAGGATTTCATATTATTTAAATGTTTAATGAAGTGCAAATATACTTTACTTAAAAAAATAATGATTGGAAGTTTGATATTGATGACTTCAAATATTTATTCTAATATCCCGGAGACTTCGATATATCCATAAGTCCTAATAAACGATCTCAAATCAACGTAAAATCGATACTTTTCTCAATCAGTTAGTAACTTTGACATGATCAGTTACAAACTAGATAAAATCTGCATTTAATACAATTAATCACAGAATAATAAATCAGTGAATATAAACAGTCAATTTCAAGTTATGTAATTAGCTCTCACCGAAATCCATATTATATATAGTATACGTGATAAGTATATCTGAAAGACGTGTCAAATTTCCATGACTATCATCTGAGTAGAAATCAGTTTTTCGATCAGTACGTGGAACGTCTTTATCTAATTATGTTGGTGTATAACAAAACAAAAAGAATATTTATCAATTAAGTGTCGAGAAAAATGAAGTGTATTATACACACAAACAAAAGAAACAAGAACAAATGCAGTCAACAATAAATACCAAAACACATTTAAAAGAAGAATTGTTCTTAATAGTCACTTGAAGTGGTTTCACAACATTTCAATAAGTAAACTGACAATATACATGTAATAAACTGTATACAAATAGGCACCACGTAAACAAAAGTGAAATTCAACAAAACCACTCGAGTAAAGGTGGAGGGAAAAATTAAAGAAAATTTGAAAGATATTGTTGACCGTAAATTAAATATTTTGAAATTAATTCAATTGAATAGGAAGAAAATATCAGAAGTCTAAGCCCAGTTAAACACACAATTAAAAACTCTGTCCAAACTCTTAGAGGGAAATCAACACGATAAAGGTCAGATATCTATGAGATGACATGTGAAGAGTCAAGCATGAAATTAATCGATAAAAGCTTTGTTTGCAGAAAGTATACTGAATCTAATTCTGACATAATATATACTCTAATTGACAAAAGACTACAATGATCTTTCCTTCGACTTATTTGAAATATCTGATAATTCCTCTAATGGAACGCTGAATTAGGTTCCTAAGCTCTTCTAGTAACCCCCCAGACTAGATCAATATAGCGACTTGAACACGAAAGAAAATGCGCGAAGTATGGAATAAACGCTTTATTCTAAAGGTTCGTTTATGTACAGAAGATCTAGGGTTTTTATAGTATTTTAGATGGCCTATGGTTCCCGGGAAATTCTGGACCACTACTAGTAGAAGTATAGGTAACCATCTAATCAGAAACTCGAAATGTGACTTTTCACTTTCTAGATGTTTCTGGCAAAATGTCTAGTGAATGCTGATTAGATAAGATGCTTCTCAATGTTTTCAGACTTTTTTGGCATTTCTCGAGTTTTCTGGGACTCCCTAACAATATCGTAGTGGGCATAGATCACGTTACGATAGCAGAATCATGCCCAACAGTGTTTTAAATTATTCGGAAATATTAAGGAACAAAAGGAAATTGCGTAATGATATAACGGTTAGTGAAAAATATCAAGATGCGCACTTCTGAGGAGTCCCACAATAGGACGAAGAGACCGTCCAGTGCTTCCAGCTTTTCAATAGTAGTCGAACATCAATCGGTTCAACATTTAAATCCAAAACTTAATAATCTCCACAACCCTATACTGATACGTAATTTTTAGTCAATAAACCGTTCATCAAAGCTACATTTAATTTGGTTATTGGCGATTAGTGTTATGTTTGTATAGTTTCTGATGTGTCTGGGGTCTTCCTGCTTATACTTGACAATCGGGAACCACTGTAATTTCTATAATGTGGAGCAAAAACACAAAAACTGATACAGATGAAGGCTTATGGACTCTCTAAAACGAGACCCTTAAACAGGTTGTCCGAAACTGTTGTCGTTAAACCAAATACACTCATTTACATACTGATTTTACCATTCGCTTGTTGATTAGTCGATGAATGAAACGATACAAAGTTACTACAAAACACAGAAAAAGTTAACTGACGGTAATACAAACATGTTAACCAGAAATAATGCTGCACTGGAAAAGATGGCTAGGATATTACAATGCAAATAAAACTAATGTCATAAAATGTTATATCGAGTTAGAAAAAACGTGAACTCGCCTTTTTATTCGGATTTATTGGTTAGTATTATTGACCATTATACAATATGCATACAATCACACATGGTTATTACTATTATTGTTTAATGGTTAATGGAATTCAAATTAAACCCTCTCAGTCATTTCTACCCAAAAGTACCCGACGCGGTGGTCGGGCTTACCTATCGTGATGACCCGACCGAGCTATATTGGCTGGGACATATGTTCCTGTAGGTTCTACCTTGCCAGGCAGGTCGATTGGAGAACGGTAGGACTAAAAGCAGCAACTCAAAGTCTGAAGGCGATGTCGTACTGCTGACTGTAGAGGACAGCAGTAAGGTGTTTCTCTCGGACAAACAGCATATGCAGCGATGCTGCCTTCTCACAAGGAAGGGGTTAAAAAAAGCTTGACCCTAAAAATGCCACACCTCACCTTACCTCACGGATTTCCGTCTCCGGCGGTAAGACCCTTTGAAAAACGGAGCTAACATATTAAAAACTTCCCACGAAAAGGCCGTGCGCGACCGGCCTCAAGCAGTTGTCCCTTGAGCTCTGCGGTCACGCTCCCAAGTTGTTAAGGCCAACATTAATCCAACTTCATTTTCAGGTCCCTCAAAAAATACCCCTCCACGGTGTGGGCAGCCGGGAAGTGACATCAGCTTTCACATCCGCAACAGCACAAGAGACCAAGTTGGTCACATTCAAATCCCTCATACACTTCCTAATACCTATCTTACCTCCATGACTAACCCTTCTCACGTTCTTTTATCACCTCGCACCGCTAGGACAAACGATTCGAGTACGTGGAACGTTAGTCCTGGTCTCCTGAAACCACGCTCTAAACTACATGTAGGAGCTTTTAACGTCCGAACACTGTGCCAAATAGGAAAACAGGCTTCCTTAGCTAGGACTTTAGAATCCCGAGCCATTGAGGTGTGCTGCGTCTCCGAAACGCACATACAGGATCCAAGTAGAGTCATTCATCTGACCTCACCATGCCAAAATAAAGAACCGACTCGATTCACACTTCGTGTATCTGGAAGCCCAGATGCTGCTTCTCGTGGACTCGCTGGCGTAGGTATAGCATTGAGTCCTAGGGCAGAACCAGCTCTCCTAGAGTGGATCTCAGTAGACAGTCCCTTGTGCGATGTCCGACTAAACGGAACAGTAAGGATCCGAGAAGATAGGGACACTCGTCGTTACCTCTTCGTCGTCTCTGCCTATTCTCCCACTGACTGCAGCGCAGATGATGAGTTTTACAGAAAGCTTTCCGACCTTCCCCGAAAAGTTAGGCGCTCGGATGTAGTAATAGTGGCCGGTGACTTTAATGCTCAAGTAGGTAAACTAAGCGATAGGGAAAGACACCTGGATGGATCTTATAGCATCGTGGCTCAAAGGACGGATAATAACGATCGTCTGTTGCAGCTATGCTCGGATAACCGCCTCTTTCTTGTAAATACTAACTTTAGGCATAAGGAAAAACATCTTTCATCATGGCGACTCTCTAATTCATCCTAAAGTTGGACCCAAATAGATCACATCGCTATCAGCCACCGATGGAGGGGCTCGATAGAAGACTGTCGCTCATTATGGAGCACATACTTAGATTTAGATCATGCTCTAGTACGAGCGCGTATTTGCTTGCGTCTTACTGGACGTAGGAAAGACGCTGCAAGGAAACCTCTTAGGGGCCTACTTAATGATAGTCAAGCTAAGAGTATATTTCAGGAACAACTAGGAAAACAGTTAGGCAGCCATGTATGTGATGCCCACCCCGAGGCAGCATGGAATGATATCCGAAAAGCTGTGGAAACAGCAGTGATATCTGCTAGTAAGGTAAACCAGAAGGTTAGATAGCAACACTGGATCTCAGCAGCATCTATCACACTGATAGATGCTCGGAAATTCATTCCACCTGGCTCTAAACATAGTGAAGAGCGGAGTCAGCTTAAGCGCAAGCTGACAAGAACAGTGGTGGGTAGCAAAAGCAAGAGAGATGGAAAAGGCAGCGGCAATAGGTAATAGCAGACAATTGTTCAGACTCGCTAAGGAAACCGGAATTAGGAACCCGACCGTTAGCGAAACAATCTCAGAGAAAGATGGACATATTATTCATTCCCAATCCAGTAGATTGGATCGATGGGCAGAACGCTTCAGGGATCAGTTCAACTGGCCTTCAGCCACATTTCGGTTTCCCACGATCCCCAGTCAACCTGAATGGCAAGTTAATGTAGGTCCTCCGTCTCTTTACGAAGTTGAAAAAGCCATAGGAAATCTGAAGCGAGGGAGAGCAGCAGGCCCTGACAGGTTTACTCCTGAGATTTTCAAGGATGGTGGTCCAGCATTAGCAGTGAGATTAACTGAGGTCTTAGGTAGAATTTGGGAATTAGACGAAATCCCATCTGACTGGTCTCAATCACTAATTGTGCCAATCTATAAGAAAGGACAAAAGTTCTCTTGTGACAATCACAATGGGGTTAGTTTGACTATTAGTGACTAAAATATTAGCTTCAATAATACCTCGACGTTTAACTAACGCTCGTGAAAAGCAGACTAGAAAAAATCAGGCTGGTTTTCGACCTGGACGTGGTTGTATAGACCAGATATTCGCACGACGTCAGGTTCTAGAACACAGACACACATTCAGATGCCCCATTATCGTAGTATTTCTCGACCTTAAGGCGGCATTTGACCCTGTTGATCGTGAGGTTCTATGGCAGTGTTTATCACTGAAAGGAGTACCAAAGAAGTACATTAACCTTATACAGGCTCTCTACTCGAACACAACTGGTAGAGTGAGAGCTTATGGCGAACTGTCATCAGGATTTATTACCTCAAGTGGTGTTCGTCAGGACTGTCCACTCTCTCCATTCTCGTTAAACTTCGCCATTGATGTACTTTTAGAGATGACACTTTCGTCATCTAAATTTACAGGGGTTGAACTTCTACCAGGAGACTCACTTGTTGACTTGGAATATGCCGATGACATAGTTCTATTTGGTGAAGACGCTGACAAAATGCAGTCTTCTGACCACTCTAAGCAACAATGCAAGCATGTTCGGGATGCGATTCTCTCCTTCGAAATGTAAAATGTTGCTTCAGGATTGCGTTGCATCGACACCTGAACTAATGATAGGGAGTGAAGTAGTTGAGCATGTCGACCGCTTCACTTATCTTGGAAGTCTCGTCAGCCCTTGTGGTCTGGTGTGTGACGAAGTCTCAGCACGGATACAGAAGGCTCGACTAGCTTTTGCCAACTTGCGTCATTTATAGCGTAGGAGAGATATCCGTCTATCAACCAAAGGACGGGTTTACTGCGCATCAGTTCGTTCCGTCTTACTTTATGGTGGTGAAACATGGCCGTCAAGAGTAGACGATATTTGTAGGTTGCTAGTATTTGATCATAGGTGTCTTCAAAATATTACTCGTATATCCTGGGACCATCGAGTAAGTAACTCAGTTGTTAGGAAATGGGTACTAGGTAAGGATGGTAAATCAATTGATGAAGTAGTGAAACTTCATTAGTTGAGATGGCTGGGACACGTGTTACGTATGCCCAACCACCGACTGCCTCTACGTGTTATGTTTCACGGTGTAGGAGTAGGTTGGAAGAAAGCTAGAGGCAGCCAAACCAAAACATGGCACAAATCCATGAAGTCACTGGCAGGTGGACTGAGTCATGTTGGTAAGTGTAGATTACCTGGTTGGGGACCGCGAGATCATAGCAACCGATAGTTAGAGACCTTGAATGGCATGGCTTAAAATCGTTTGCAATTGCGCAGGTGCATCCAATCTTTGTGCTCTCCCAAATTCTAATTTTCTGAATTCTTCATGTCCCTTTTTTCCTCTTTCCAAATTTATTTCACTGGATTATATTTTTTAAATAATATCTTCAAACCCTAGTCTTTCCGATTACTGCTTATACTCTTACCGCCTCTACCGCTATGTATTTGAATTGACAACTGCAGCTCTGTGCTAATGTGGTGTGGCAACTCGAACTGATGTACGTACGTACGTACGAAGTTACACGTTATTACTGATTGACTGACTGAGATACACTTATGAAAGAAAGTAAAGAAGAAAAGAATGCATGTCGAGATCATAGTAAAATGAGAGGTTGAACATATTGCCAAATGTGACTTACGTTGTTAAAAGCTTAATGAGATTTCTAAATCCATACATATATTTCACCAGACATTAACTAACCAGGGCTGGTACGACTCCAAAGGTCAGTGTATCACTCATCGCACTAAACCACTTCATTCCCTATGATCAGTTTAGGCTTTAAAACAGAGTAATCCTGAGATAACATTTTGCATTCAGGTGTGAAACATACCCTAATTATACTTGGATTATTGCTAAGCGCGTTTGAACTTAACTAAAGCATATATTTGTTATTTTATAATAATGAAAATACATTGTGACAGTTTATGAAATTCACAAGAACTATTCGGACGCACAGACGTCTGAGGAATATCGTCCTATCGATGGCGATCGAATCAGGTTTTGATGAATTGGCTTCCAGTTGCTTTCAACTACCCAGTGTCAACGAGATACCATCCCTGTTTTAATTTAAAATAGTTGATAGATGATCAAAATCTCAACCTGAATCCTTGCAAATGGTCTTAGATTTTTTTGCCAGATAACGGATCAACTACATCACATTTATTCGCATGCCTGTTAAGACTCCATTATTATAATGATTAAGAATTGAATCGGCAGTTGAAGTGAAGTGACGTATTCGATTCGTTCAACAACCAACAAAGAATTTTGTGTAGGCAGTTTTGTTTACTGAAAAGGTATCAATCCAAGGCAATATATTCACTAGCGATCAACTGATTTCAAAGATTTAATCTTTGTAAATTCATATTTTTATCATTATAATAAAGATATTAATTAGAAAAGAATAATATTTCTGATCACAGACCCATACTTTTTGATAACATTCAAAGTAAACAGCATGAAACAACGGTAACTGTTAGAAAAAGAAATGAACAGTATTGAAATGCCAAATTTTTGCTACTTCTATTCCGAAAATACACACATAATTTATGATGAATGGTTACTTTTGAGTATTGAGTAATGTAAGGGGAAGTCAAATGCACAGGATAGATCAAGTGACATCTAAAAATAATTAATTTTCTCCAAGGGAAGCGAAACATTTGCTTACTTGATAAACATTACAATCGGAAAATGAAGTTATTAGTAATCTTCGTTACGTTATTTAGATGAACGAAAGAAAATAACAATAAGGGACTTACCAATAAAACATTTACGATCACGAAACAATGCAAACCTAGCTTCTCGATCAGGGGACATTGACTTCCAAAATGTCTTCAAGATGTGGTATTCACGACTGAAAAAAAAGTAAAACGCTGGAGGGTGTGGTTTATTGTATAATGAAGTAAGGATTCATGAAGAATAAAGCTAGACGAAAGAAACATTTAGAGATAAACTCATTGAGTAATAACCACAATTACAAGACAAAAAATAAGGAAATAAGTTATCAGCACTTGTCTCTTTTGATTACGAAGCCAGATGAAGGTTAATCAATGACGCTTTCTAGGTATAAAGATCAAGTTTAAGTCTTCTGATCGTCATGGTTTCCATTTAGGTCACATAGGGAACAATTTTGCTTCTAAAATACAGTTTCACTTGCATGACAAGCTACAAGCACAACGAAATAGGCTTTGAGTATTATAATCACCACTATTATCCAAATGACAATGACAGAGCGTCATCCGTTAGGCGATGCAAATCATTGTGTATTTAAGGAATTTTCTATATAATTTGAGATGAAAGTTTGACCTGATGATTTCAAATAAACCTGTCATAGGGTACTGTTAGTAATAAAATAATGACAGCTATGATATCCAAACGAGCAAAAATTGAGTTTCTGACGTTTTATGGGGCAGTGTAAGTCGCTTCTTCAGAGATTACACGAATAACTGAATAAATAGTACGAAGTAGCAAAGCAGAATATTTGGCATAGCTGAAACACAGATCTGGTAAAGTTAGTGTCGAGTCATTGTGGCCAGGATGATGTGAAACATGCTGGTGTATTCATTAGTGGGTATTATCCAAAACTTGTCTTGACTCAGTTATTTATTTATTCTATGGAGAAGCAACTTACACTGAGCAGTGAAACGTCAGTTATTCAATTTCCCAAACATTAGGATATTGAAAATATGTCAATATTGATTGAAGGGGTTAGCATTTTTCAATTATTAATATCCACGTTTGTTATGCCATATGTGCTTATTTATTTGAACACATAAATAAAGGTACAAGGGGGCGCCAAATATATATGCGTCACACAAAACAATGAGAATTGAAAGAGAAAAAAGAAGGTAAGGAGAGTTGTTGCTACCTTGACGTGGTGGTCGAATTTGCCTATCGTGATGAAGCAACCGAGTTATGCTGGCTGGAACAACCGTTCCTCAAGGTCCTACCATGTCAGACAGGTTGGTCGAAGAGCGGTAAGACTAAATGCAACAAACCCAAGGTCTGAAGGCGAAGTCGTACTGCTGACTGTACAGAGGTGTGATGACAGTAAGGTGTTTCCTTCGAACAACCAGCATAACAGCGATGCTGCCTTCCCACAAGAAGAGGTGGGGTTAGAAATGGTCAACCCTAAAAATACACACCTCACCATAACCCACAGATATCCGTCTTCGGCGGTAAGGTCTCGACAAGCACGCAGCTAACACAAGAATTACTCACAAAAACGTCGTGTGTGACCGACCTCAAGCAGTTGTCCCTTGTGCACTGCGGTCAAGCTCTCATGTCAATAAGACCACCTCTAATCCGATTTCCTTTACAGGTACCTCCAGAAAAACCCTTCCACGGTGTGAGCAACCGGGAAGTGATAACCGCCCTCATACTTTCAACAGCACTCAAGACCACTGTATTCATAATCAAACTCCCTCTTCAATTCCTATAATTCCTCCCAAATCGACTTTCGACGCTAAACTTCCTCTGTCGGCTTCCCCCTCAAGTTTTACCATAGCCAACGATTCTAGTGCGCAAAACACTGTCCCAGGTCTACTGAAACCTCGCCTTCAACGTACGCACCCTGTATCAAATCAGTCAGCAGGCTTCCTTGGCTAAAACCCTAGAATCTCGTACGATTGATGTATCCTGTGTCACCGAAACACGCATACAAGATCCTAGTGTAGTTATTCACTTGATCTCACCTCGCCAAAACGGATAGCCAACAAGATACACCCACCGTGTATCTGGTGACCCAATGGCCAGTTCTCGTGGACTGGCAGGTGTAGGCATAGCACTAAGCATGAGGGCGGAACAAGCACTGCTAGAGTGGATCCCCGTCAACAGTCGTCTATGTGCTGTTCGGCTAAACGGCTCCGTAAGAACTCGGAAGGATAGGGACACACGTCGTTGCCTTTTTGTCGTTTCTGCCTACGCTCCCACTGACTGCAGCTCAGATGATGTGAAAGATGAATTTTACAGAAAGCTCTCTGAACTTCTTCAGAAAGCTAAACGCTCAGACATAGTACTCGTAGCACGTGACTTTAATGCTCAGATAGGTAGCTTAAACCACACAGAAAGGCATTTAGGTGGATATTCTAGTATTCCGACACAGCGAACAGATAATGGTGATCGTCTGCTGCAACCGTGCTCAGACAATCGTTTATTTTTAGCAAACACACATTTTAAACACAAGGAGAGACATCGTCTAACATGGCGACCCCCTACACCAAACCAACGATGAACTCAAATAGACCATATTGCCATCAGTCATCGTTGGAGAGGGTCGGTACAACATTGTCGCTCATTCCAGTGTACCTGCTTGGACTTCGACCATGCCCTAATACGAGCACGCATCTGCTTGCACCTCACTGGATGCGAAAAAGCCACAGTAAAAAGACCCATTAGAACTGAATTGGGTAACGACCCTTGTGGTCTGGTGTGTGACGAAATCTCAGCACGGATACAGAAGGCTCGACTAGCTTTTGCCAACTTGCGTCATTTATGGCGTAGGCGAGATATCCGTCTATCAACCAAAGGACGTGTTTACTGCGCAGCAGTTCGTTCCGTCCTACTTTATGGTAGTGAAACATGGCCGGTAAGAGTAGAGGATATTCGTAGGTTACTAGTATTTGATCATAGGTGTCTCCGAAGTATTGCTCGTATATCCTGGGACCACCGAGTAAGTAATGCAGCTGTTAGGAAACGTGTACTAGGTAAGGATGGCAAATCAATTGATGAAGTAGTGAAACTTCATCAGTTGAGATGGCTGGGACACGTGTTACGTATGCCCAACCACCGACTACCTCGACGTGCTATATTCAGTGGTATAGGAGTAGGTTGGAAGAAAGCTAGGGGCGGCCAGACCAAAACATGGCACAAATCCATGAAGTCACTGACAAGTGGACTGAGTCATGTTGGTAGGTGTAGACTACCTGGTTGGGGACCGCGAGATAATAGCAACCGATGGTTAGAGACCCTGAATGACATGGCTCAAAATCGTTTGCAATGGCGCAAGTGCATCCACTCTCTATGTTCTCCCAAATTCTAATTATCTGAATTCTTCATGTCCCTTTTTTCCTCTTTCCAAATTTATTTCACTGGATTATACTCGTTAAATAACATCTCCAAACCCTAATCTTCCCGATTACTGCTTATACTCTTGCTACCTCTACCACTACGGGATTTGAATCGACCACTGCATCTCTGTGTTAAGGTGGTATGGCAACTCGAACTGATGTACGTACGTACTAAGTTCTACGTTGCTACTGACTGACTGACTGAACGACAAAAGCAAAAGTAGGTTCCAGGAACAACTGAGGTCACAATTAGGCAGTTCTGAAAATGAGGCTGACCCAGATGTTGCTTGGAAAGGCATACAAACAGCTGTGGAAACAGCAGTGACATCTAATAGTGATTTAAACCACAGAGTTACAAAGAACCAATGAATTTCTTCAAGGTCTATTGTACTGATGGATTATCGTAAACTCATCCCATCAGGCTCTGAACACGATGAAGAGCGACAACAAATCAGATCTAGGTTAAGCAAAAGACTAAGGAACGACCGTGAGTAGTGGTGCGTAACGAAAGCAAAAGAGATGGAAAAGGCGGCGGCTATAGGGAACACAAGAAAGCTCTACAGGCTAATAAAAGAGACTGTAATTAATAAGTCAATTTTAAGTGAGACTACCTTGGAAAAAGACGAGGCTCTCATATGCTCCCAGTCCAGACGTTTAAAACGATGGGCGGAACATTTTAAGGAGCAGTTAAGCTGGCCTTCAGCTACTCTACAACTACCCTCCATTCCCAGACAATGTGAATGGAACATTGAAGTAGGTCCCCCAACTCTTGCTGAAGTTCAAAAGGCTATAGTTAATCTGAAACGAGGAAGGGCAGTTGGTCCAGATGGATTGGCTCCAGAAGTCTTAAAGGATAGTGGTCCAATTTTAGCGGTTAGGTTGACTAATATTTTAGCTAAGATCTGGGAATTAGACGTTATCCCATCTGACGGGTCGCAATCACTTATCGTCCCAATATATAAGAAAGGGTCAAAATCATCCTGTGACAACCACAGAGGGATTAGTTTGACTAATATAGTATCTAAAATACTAGCCTCGATAATTATCAGACGCCTAACTAAGACTCGTGAACTGCAAACATGAGAGAATCCAGCTAGCTTCAGACCTGGTCGTGGCTGCATCGACCACATATTCACCATTCGTCAGGTTCTAGAACACAGGCATACGTATCGGCGTCCGACGATGGTGGTCTTTCTTGACTTAAAAGCAGCATTTGACTCTGTAGACCGCGAGACTCTGTGGCAGTGTCTGTCATTGAAAGGCATACCCCAGAAGTACATAAACCTTGTAAAGGCTCTTTACTCGAACACTACCAGTCCAGTCAGAGCTTATGGCGAACTATCATCTACTTTTGCAACCTCAAGTGGTGTCCGTCAAGGCTGTCCACTTTCTCCATTTCTGTTTAACTTCATCATAGACCTACTGACGGAAATAACATTCTCCTCGACTGAATTCTCGGGTATTGATCTCCTACCACTTATCAACTTAGAATACACAGATGATATAGTCCTGTTTGGTGAAGACGCTGATAAAACACAGAATCATTTGGTAGCACTGAACAATAATGCCAGAATGTTTGGAATACGCTTCTCTCCCTCTAAATGCAAGTTGTTGCTTCAGGACTGGTCTGCGTCAACACCTGAACTAACGATAGGGAGTGAAGTAGTCGAACGCGTTGACAACTTCACTTATCTTGAAAGTCTAATCAGCCCTAATGGGTTGGTGTCTGACGAAATCTCAGCACGGATTCGAAAAGCTCGTTTGGCTTTTGTCAACTTTCGTCACCTATGGCGAAGGCTAAATACCTGTCTATCAATAATAAGGACGAGTATACTGCGCGGCAGTCCGTTCTGTTTTAATTTACGGCAGCGAAACATGGCCATTAAGAGTAGAAAATACTCGTAAGCTACTAATATTTGATCACAGATGTCTTAGAAATACTGCCCGAATGTGTTGGCATCTTCATCGACTGAGATGGTTGGGTCACGTGTTGCGTATGCCTGAACACCGATTACCACAACGTGCAATGCTAACCGGTGTTGGAGATGGTTGGAAGAAAGTTAGGGGCGGCCAAACCAAAATGTGGCATCAGTGCTTGAAGACACTAACTTCTAGTCTGAGCCATGTTGGTAGATGCAGTCTACTTGGTTGGAGTCCGTGTGACTATCGTAACCAATGTTTGGAGACTCTTGGTGACATGGCTCAGAATCGATCACAATGGCGCGGGTGTATACACTGTCTGTCTTCCCTTAAACTAAGAGATTAAAATCACTTTATATCTTTCTTTCTACGAACTAATTCTTTCTTCCTGTACTATATCCTTATATGCAATCTTTCTTTCATATATTACCACCTTTTACCTAACCACTGTTATGATTCCGGTGTTCATCTTGTTGTGTTGATGCGGTATGGCAACGTGAACCGATGCATATATGTGCCTGGTCCTACGTTCTAGCTGACTGACTGAATGTAATAATAATAATAATAATAATAATAATAATAATAATAATAATAATAATAATAATAATAATAATAATAATGGGGAAAACGGAAAGGTACAACCAGAAGGATTCTTTCAGTTAAGGAAGAAACAACCAATTTTTATGAAGTAAAAGAAGGTTACAGCAAAATCGTCACTGGCTTCTATTCTGAGCCATATCTGATAACACCTCTAGCCACTATGTTGCACCATCTCTAGGACCCCAGCCAGGGAGTCGAGAAGGACCAACAGTAGGAGCCGCGATACAAAAATGTTAGCATATTTTTAACTTCTACATAAAAGGATTCTAGAGTCTTCTCCAACTACCGGCTACCGCTGATTAAAATAACCAACGTCCATCATGACAACATAAAATAACAAATTCAGTACCATCCGCTTCAAACGCCTTCACGTTATCCACGTAGTAACTAAGTTCAGATAGCCACTAGCTTGCGCAATGGAGTGAAGTTCAATTCATTTTGTATTAGTTGTTTGAATATTTCCACCGTCATCTAGGGATGCAATTAACTAGCCACTTTTCGGCATATGTGGATCCTGTGAGGATTGCATCAGCATTACCATCAAGTCAAATGCATTTTAAGCAAGGGAAAAAGTGTCTTGGTTTCCAGCGCTAGCCACTATCTATCTTTGCTTATAACCAATGGAAAATATTAGCATCTGAGATAAATAAATTAAAGCATATTTAAAAACGCTAGGCCTTTAAGGAAAAAATATACAAAAGTTATTGTTTTATGTAAGTTGACGAGGTATATATATATATATATATATATATATATATATATAACTTGAATGTTAACAATAAGTTTTCAGATGCTTTGAGTTATATATTTAAAGATTTATTTATTATATTAATTAATAAATAAACTTAGTTTTATAAAATCGATAAAAATTAATTGACGAAAAAAGCAAAAGAACAGGAAACTTGATCATCATCATTAACAAATAATGGACAGTTAGAAACTCATTTAGTTTTTATTCCGTAAACAAATGCTTATTAGTTGATGAAGCCTTCAACGCGATGCATTACAGTGAGAATATAAGTGAAAGAAGAAACTTTGGTAAATAAATTTTCATGGTTATTAAAGTGTGGCAATGACTAGTAGTGGAATACAAAATATGTTTCATTCTATTTGAAACTCGGATAATTAAATTGAACTGTTAATAATCACATAGACTCGAAACCATTACTTTTTACTCTACCACTGAGCTACGGAGAGAGAGAGAGAGAGAGAGAGAGTAGTCAATTGCGGTTATTGACATCAATAATTGGAAGATGAACACCACTATGAACTGAATCTTCTTAATTGTTTGTATTTTACGTAATTTTAATTTGAAGGCTATACGTTGATATATTTACAAGATAAGATGAGTACGTATATAAATACTGATTGGTGCTTAAGATATCATGAAGACATTACTGTGGGGTTATATATATTGCCTGTTTGCTGACCGAATCTTCATATTATTGACCTTTTCCTACCATATTCTTTTGGCAACGAAACAGAATTTTGTATTCATAAATCTCTTGTCAATACGTGCATATATTTTAGTCCTACAAGAAATTACTCACATAATTTACATGATAAAATACTTTTAATATTATTTAAAACTAGCAAACCTTTTTTCAACTTTTAATCTTTCATTTTCTTCCGCTGTATAAGTCCATTGATAATAACCGAGTAAATACTTCCATACTATCGGTTTTAAATCATTTTCAATACCCTGCATGAAATAATAATAACAATCGTAATTATGCGAAACAAGAAGAAGGAAGATGACGATAAATATACTTTATAAAGTAGAAAAAATAATCATGGTCGCTTTAGTTGGTACTCATTTATTGTCAAACACAGTATTACATAATTAGTTAAGGTGGTTGAGACAGGTAATAAGTATGCCCAACCATTGCCTACCTTGATCAGTGATGATGGTTGGTACAGTAAGCAGGAAGAAAGCTAAAGGTATAAAAACCAAAAGTTCATGTGATCATTAGCCTTTGAAGTGAATTGTGCTAGTAGACGGTTTGTACCAATGGTTAGAGACTTTGAGTGACATGACTCAGAATCGGTCGTTGATATATTCACTCTTTATCTTTCCTTGGACCTTAAGTTTTTTTAACTGCGTCAAGAATTTTTTATTCTACGAATGTATATTTTCTGCTCGAATCATATCTTCTACTACGACTAACTGTGTGACAGAACGATTGGAAAGATTAGGATAGTTTGTCTGTCTACAAATTTGAACATATCAACGTAGATGTACGAAAACATGAATCTCTATTTCACTACTTATACTACTCTAACATCTTGTTGTGCTAATGTGCTGTGACAACTTGAACTGATGTATATGCCCCAGTTTCTTTACGCTACGTACGACTGACTAACTAAATGACATAATTTGTTCGTTATGACTATCAATAAATGAATCTAAAAAAATTGTACTGTAAGTGTCAATTGGACGGGGTAATTGAAAAAAAGGCATACTTTGACACTAAATTATATTGAAAATGAGTGCGATTCAGTCCGCTGTGAACACAACAAATAATACTTTGGATCATATCTGTTATAAAGCAATATATGGAGCTACAAAGTCTGTAATAAGAAATAATTTTGTTTCATAAACAATGTCAAAGTGCTAGTCAAGAAATATGTAAAATCACTAGGTATTAAAATCAAATTATTTTATTTACATTATAGGACTTGATAGACTTGTAAAAGTTGAACCACAATATGAAATTTACACTACTCATAGTGGGTAAAACCATAATGGCAGTACTGAACTAATGGTGAACATCCGAAGTTTACAAAGTTTTGATAATGAAAAAAATTGTTAAACAATAGAGTGATAGGTTCTAATATGATATCTTGGACTATGTAACAACATTTGTTTTTGTTTTCAAAACTTATTTGGGCTGAGCCGTATTTTAGTTGTCCGATCAGTACACAGTAGAAATTCAATAGTGAGACATAAACATGATTCTTACTAAATATTACTTCCTAACTGTTAAAATATTTTTCTCTTCTAAACCAATTTTAGACAACCCACTAAACATTATGGTCGGCAAAAGTGATCCGGTTATAAACATGATAGTAATCAGGATACATTGACAACAATATAATCCAGTCTTGATGATCTAAGAGTAGTTTTTTCCCACGTATTTCTCTAATCTTTTCACATTTTTTGACTCGTTGGTATTTCGACAAATTCAAATAATCTTGTTCCCTTACAATGAAATGTAAGAACTAGTGATTTGTAATTTAGCAGGAATCAAAAGTGTTATCAGATTATACAAGTTTTTGGCACGTTCACGGTATTTTTCTAGTAGATAAATGTATTTTTGAATACGTTCTTGTAAAAATATTCGTGATGTGCGTTGAGAAGCCTGGGAAGATCGCCTGGTAGTCTTTAAAACTATGCTTAAATTCAGCCATATATACTTTCAACGGAACATTATGCAAACAAACAGAGTGATAATAGGATACACTTGCTAACCTGTTTATGTCACATATAGAATCATAAATTTTGGCCAATGACATTAGATCACGAATTCGATTCAGGTATGGGGACGACAATTTTTTGTCGTTATGAAAAAGACTCTTATGAACGTTTTCTAGACTGATCATTATACTCTCACCCCACACTGAATTCCCATACGAAAATGAAAATAAATACGGTGAATTATCAGCTAGAATGCAGCTGGAGGACCTGGACCTTCTATTGCACACGCAACAACAGACACAGCAGAAGACGATCAGTGTATCAGTAGGTCTCAATATATACAAAGGGAAAAGCAAGATTCTCCAATACAATACAACATGCACCAATCAAATCACACTTGACAGAGAAGCTCTTGAGGATGTAAAAACTTTTAAATATCTGGGCAGCATCACTGATGAGCACGGTGGATCTGATGTAGATATGAGGGTGCGGATCGGTAAAGCAAGAGTAGTATATTTACAACTGAAGAACATATGAAACTCAAAACAACTGTCAACCAACACCAAGGTCAGGATTTTCAATACAAGTGTCAAAACATTTTACTGTATGGGGCAGAAACCTGGAGAACTACGAAAGCCACCATCCAGAAGATACAAGTGTTTATTAACAGTTGTCTACGCAAAATACTTCGGATCCATTGGCCAGACACTGTCAACAACGACCTACTGTGGGAGAGAACAAACCAGATTCCCGTGGAGGAAGAAATTAGAAAGAAGCGCTGGAAGTGGATAGGACACACATTGAGGAAAGCAACCAACTGCGTCACAAGGAAAGCCCCCACTTGAAATCCTCAAGGCCAAAGGAGAAGACCAAAGAACACATTACGCCAAGAAATGGAGACAGATATGAGAAGGATGAACAACAATTGGATGGAGCTAGAAAAGGAAGCTCAGGACAGAGTGGGTTGGAGAATGCTGGTCTGCGATCTATGCTCCATTGGGAGTAACAGGCGTAAGTAGTATTAGTAGTAGTAAGACATTTACTTAATAATGAATCTTGTTCAATTTCTAGGAATGTAATATAAGACCTTTGGAAGTATAATTCTAACTATTACTACGTTTTATACATGTGGTTAACAATTTCGCCATAAAATATCATGTATCATTACATATGACACCAGTATAGAAAGATGCATAATCAGATATCATGAGAGATTTTTTTTAAAAGCAGTAAGATATCGAGATTAAAAGTTGCTAAAGATTGATCTAAATAGAAATATAAATGAAAGGGATTTACATTTGGATGTTTGCACATGGTACGAAAAGGTGCAGCATGTGAGTAGAAAAAAAAACATTAAGCTTTCAACATATACATCATTGTAGTTAAGGTGGAATAATTGATATTTATGAAGCAAGGTATTGTAACATATTTCTCTTTATAAACTGATTTATAGTATCAAAGAGACACATTTAGTTTCCTATAACAATCATTTTTATTGGCTACCTAATTATCTAGAGTTAAGGTAGTATGAACCATATGGAAATTTATAATTATGACAAGTTACATCTTGATTCGTCAAATTTTTCATGAACATTTCAGTCAAATAGGATTTAATATTTTCTTCATAGGAATAATTTATTATTTATTTATTTGAACACATAAATATTGGTACAAGAGAGCGCCAATATATATGCGCCACACAAAACAATGAAAATTCGGAGATAGAAAAAAAAACTAAAGAGCGCAAAAAAAAAGAGAACGATAACGAAGAGATTGGTGTAAAGTAGTGTGGTAGTAACGAGGGAACGGAAAGGTACAATCAGAAGAAATCTTTCAGGTAAGGGAGACACAACCACTTTTTATGAAGAAAGTAAAAGAAGGTTACAGCAGGATCGCCACTGGCTCCTATTCTGAGCCATATCTGATAACGTCTCTAGCCACTGTGTAGCACCGTCTCTCAGACCACAACCAGGGAATAATCATGATGATAGATAATAACACTAATCAAGTATACATTTTCATTCATTATTTGAAACAAAAAAAATTAAAATGAACTTAATTCCATCACATAGAAAGTTAATACATTTAATCGAAACTAAAAACGTTTTTACTATTAACAGAAAACAGAATACTTTATTCCATTGAACATAAATTACCAATCATATGACATAATACTATCATTAAATTAGTAATGACAGCGGTATACTTACTAACAATATCAGCATAATGGTGAAAGTTATGAAATAAGTTTCGATAAAAATCAATTTTAAGATCATTAGTAATGATTGGGAAGAGAAATGTTTGAAACTTGGGTATTTATATTTTAATCGATTAGCTTTTTTATGTTTCTAAGGTTATTTTATGGTACTTCTCAGATCGTCCTGATTGGTAAGTTTTTTCGGACTTAATAACTGTTATAAATAAAAATAATATATTTGTAATATCCCAATGAGTAGAAAATTGGATTTTCTACTCATTGGGATATTACAAATATATTATTTTTATTTATAACAATGAACCCAATGCTCAATTTATTCGAAATTATCAAATCAAACCTTGGTAATGACACCTACTTAATAACTGTTATATCCCGACGAGAATAACGAATGGTAACTGTTGGGACCTTTTTATGGGCTAACATTATATGTATCTTCCTAACACATAACTATTGAGTAACTAGTTTATGTATATTCATACCTCTCTTATTATAGGCCTTATTTTGACCTATAGACTATCATTATACGATTTATTATCGTAATATCCAGTTTATTAATTACAGTTTCCTTTAATCATAGCCACTTTTTGGCTTGATCTTGTACAAATGTTAATTTCTAGTCCTGGTATGATGTGGCCTGTTTGGCTTGTACATAAACCGAGTATGTTTGAAATATATGACGTATATTGCGGAGGTTAAGGTTTGTGTTCTGGAATTAACAGGCAGCGAAAAGGATCGAACGGGCCTCTAGGCTGTTCGTTCAGGTGTATGTGTCATTTGTTGGTCATATAAATCCGAGTATCCAAATTTGACAATCGTATTCGCGGTAGTTGTAAAGGTAAAAGACAAAACAATAACAATTATTGTCATATCTTTAACTGCGAGCACAATTCCTTCTCCAATTCACAGTTCTGGTTCATCCGAAAGGTAAATCCTAGAGGAAAGATCTAGTGATGGAGACTGAAGGTGAGTATAAATATCGGTTGGATATGGATTGAATAATATTTACAAAGATATTGAAAATAGGGTGGAAAATTGGTATTACTAAGTAAGCAACAAACCAATAAAAAAGTTTTGCCCCTAATCACAGTAAATAAAGACAGTTCCTGTGGGTATTTTCACCACAAAAATGAAACCGAAATCCGAATTTACAGAATAAATCAAATACATGTTATTCTAGGGAATTTAACGTCCTCAGTAAATATAACTAACTTACACCATTGAATATTATTTCACGTAAATTTTCAGGTCGATTTACACGACCTTCTGGATCTAGTGACTTTTTCCATTGGGTCATATTCAGTGGAAGGGAACGCTGAACAGTGGGCATTGGTGGAAGAAAAATAGGATTTGGTCTCTACGGAAACAAGTAAAATAAAAGTAATTTGTAACAACCTTTAACAAGTTTGATATTTGAAAGTCTAACATTTTAAAAAATCAAATCTCATAAATGTAGACTAAGACTTCTCTATTTCGCTAAAAATATAATTGATAATAATAATAATAATAAACCGTTGAGGCCAGTTAGCAGAAAACCTCTCGTAGTGATATTGCATGTCTTTCCATAAGTATTTTTACCATGTGTGAACGTTCTTAAAGTATGATAAACTACACAGAAAATATGATTATTAACCATGTATAAATAGCAACATGCGTGTAGCACTATGGTTCATCAGTCTATTGATTCGGCTTTCAACCACCGGATAGAGGACTCTTGTCTTATTTCATCAACATTAGAATAGTCAAGCTATTTTTCAGGAATAACAAGTGTGGGCTGCAACTTCGTTGCCACGCTACTATGTTTGAAGAGATTACGAGATGAATTAAATCGGCGAAGAGAAAGAACACTCAGTGACACAATGACAAGATAAACTAACTATTTTGATGCGTTCCATACCCGTCACCAAATTGTTATGACTTCATCTCCAACTATTATATCAGGTCATCGCTAATTGTTATGTCGGAATCGCTTATCACTTATGCTTATAAAACAAGGAACAACTGCAATTCCCACGACGCGAAAGTAAGAACATAAAGGTTGGTACAAGTGAAGATTTATTACTCCCAAAACACGATGACAACCCTAGTCGAAAATACACTCATTAACATGTTGATTTGCAAACTCATTTTGACAAATAGTTAAGATGAAATCATATATATGAAAAATACTCAGAATTATAACAAATAAGTGTTATACCGAATAAATTACCATACTGGAAAAACAAAACAAATACTACATTGAGTAATTATCACAGTGGATTAAAACAAAAATCACAATGAGTAAAAGAATGCAATTTTACTTTTTCATTCCATCATATCACAAATAGATAGTTATTTAGTCAAACTAATTATTTTTAAATCATAAATGTCATGATTTTAACACTTATTCAAAGATAGTAAAGTATACATTAATGCGATGTCAGACTTTTAGTGTGTTTATTCCGGATAATTGACACCAGTAATAAAAATTTTTTTTAAAAATTAGGATGATTATTTCTCAATCCAACCATAAACTTGGGATTTATTGAGTATTAATACGACAAATTAGCGATGAACATTTTTAATTAATAAGTAAGCAAATAATCAAATTTTTAAAACAACCATGAATGAAATAGCTGAGGAAAAAAGTGTACATTGAACATATGGGAAGCAATTATTCTTCGAAATCACTTTTCCAACATTTCATTGGTGAAGACAACCGAGTACGTTTATTTTATTTAATTTTTAAAAAAAATGAAAAAATATATAAATGCGATAAAACAAAACTTAAACTAACTCGTTCAACAACAGCGAATCCTCCTTCATCATCGGTAGTTCTTAAACGTGCAGCTTCGATTTTCTGTAGATCTTCTGCAATACATTTTGCAAAATACTCTTCAGATGAGCCGTTATTTGGAGCTATATTTTCATCGATTAAATTAGGTGATAATATAGTGCTAACAATTGAGTTGACATGTATTCCAATATTTCTTAATGAAGCACCTAATTGGCCAGAAAAAGGGGACCCAATCAGCCCTTCCGCTTCTACTCTTGCTGAACTGAAATGACGTTTGTTTTGCACAAGACTAGTGATATAATACAGACATATTTTGGTTTAATGAAAACATAAACATACATGAAATAAGTAAATAGAATTCACTACTGTCTAACATCTTTGTAAATTCTGGCACTTTACTCAAGTTAACGATTTTCAGGATTTGATAAAACTAAATATATTATTCATCAGCAATCGATACTGTTTAGATAACTACTCAAAAATAAGGGGTGTAGACAGCATTTGTATGCTACAATGTTACAAACAAATATACCCACGTGGATTATATAGAATGTGCAAATTATATCCTAATATCAAAGTTATTTATTTATTTGAACACATAAATGTTGGTACGAAGGGGCACCGAATACAAATGCCCCACACAAGTCACTTGATTTGTGTGTGGACAATGATATTGCCCAGGTGCCCAAACCGAAGTAGGTGGTTTTCTTAAGGGGGAACACTCAGAGCCTTCGACCTAAAGGTTAGATCCACAAGGCAGTGGAGCTACTTACGGAGATGTAATCCCATGATGTCCGGTGACCAACGACTGGTTCATATGCCATTTCTTCTCTCAGGATACTGGGGCCCATGTGCACCATTGGTTTGGAATCAGGGCTTTCCAGCTCCCCTAGATGGAATCTCCGTGTCCATCTTTAGATTTTGATGGATAGTATAATTGACAGTATTTTTTCCGCTTATTCGTCGAACTCAAAACTGAAATTTTTGAATTAATCTGGGTGAAATTTAGGGTATACATTGACAAAAACTCTTAAATTAAGACAGAGAAATGTTGCAAGTCAATACCTAATTCCGAAATGCAATTTGAAATCATTTCAGATTAAAAGTAATTATATTTTACTTTTAATATGGATCATACACAATAATTATGTATAGAAAACTTTTGATAAATCAAATAACAACAATTTCATCCCACTTACGGATCAGGAAGATGGTAATTAGAAGTAAAGTTATGTTGTGGACGAGGTCTAACAATGTACCGATTCTCATCATCATGACATCTAAATTAATGAACAACAATAACAATCAATCGATAAACAAAGCAATAATTCAAATGCCCAAACAATAAAGCGATTAATTCAAAACGAAGTACAGAAAATATTATAGAGAAATTTAAACCTCAAGTAAACAGGGATTTAAACAGCCAAACATATTGACAGAATGTATGGTTTACAGCCAACTGAATGAGTTTGCAGGTTATTCATTACAAATGTACTTAACGCACTAACACACACGTATGTTAGTTTTATATTCATAGAACGAGAGACAAACAGCAGGATAATAAGCTAAGAAAGAAAATATTGATGTTGGCAGTAGTGTGGACAAAAATAAAAGGATAAACCGTCAAAAGGAGGAAGTGCAAACAGGGAATGAAAAGAATGAGATAATACAACAGTTAAGTTACAAGAAAATAAAGAAATGCACCTAAAAAAGTGGAACATTTCTAGCCATGTCACCTAACATCGTCAACCATGCGTTTCGATTATTCGGTAAACTAATCAAGCCAGCGGCTCACAACACATCTCATATTAATCATCAATGATTAGTGTGGTGCTTTAGTAGTTGAAGTATCCAAATTTTAGAGCCTTGATTATGAATTAGAATCCCATCTAGCCAGTCAGGTAGGGGTAGTTATACTAAATTAGACACAAAATATTTGCAGTAGAGATGAGTACATGAATTTACAAAGTGCTTATTGAGTCGTATGATTATTACCACGGCTATATGTCTTGGCCAAACCAACTGTACACTCCTACAACCAGAAACAATGGTAGCTGGACATGCGTAATACACATCTCAAACAAGTCAACAAAAATATGTTGATAGTTTCATCAACAGCTTTATCATCTCTATTTGGCAATTAACCATCTAACATCACCCAACGTCCTCATCAAGCACGCACAATGACCCGAAGACAATCATGGTCAAATGACTGTATATTACATATGTTTTCTACCTTACAAATCCATGTTTCGAATTCTCAAAATACTACAGAGCAAATCGCCTTGCAGTGAACGGACTGTTTAGTAGGTAGACAGAAACATCGACCGAGCTACAAGTGACACGATTCGAGGAAACCCACAGGAGTACAGAAGTAACAAATATCGTCATATATATTTTCTAAGTTGACAGGCTAATAAAACCACCTAGCAGACTTGGAAGCAGTTCTCTGTGAGTTGAAAATTAGGTTCACTTGATTAGCCACAATCCCCAAGACCAGCTAAAGGAAAAACACTGATAATACTTAGCTATCGTGGACAAGCTAACTGCTGGTGATTTCAGGAGGAAATCGCTGAATGGTGTAATATCAGAACACTAGACATCGACAAATGCAGTTAGCATTAGCTGGAAATGCTTACATATTTACATACAATAGAGTTTACATAGCAAAATCTTAAAGATGAAATAGGAGAGCTTTTGGTCATGAAAACTCTTACGTAGCTAGTGATGAGAAAAAACTGTATGGTTGCCAGCCTTCTATTATCTGGACAGCTAGTTGAGTAAACTACTATATTACGAGTATTTGGACAATAAAATCACAAAACTTTTACCAGTGAACAACGTTTTCAAGTTTCCGTGCAAAATTTATAATCTCAGGGCCTGATGAACATCATTTCAGGGTTTGTATAACAAGGTTTTATCGGCTATGTTGGGCATGGTTCAATCGTATTCAAAACCTCGCAACCAAAGATATAAGGTGTGAAAACTTATTAATCAAGACGCGAAAAGTATCTTTGTAAGAATTGAAATGTTTTAAGTATTATAAGGTTTGACTGTCTGTCATTCAATTTGTTTTGGCACGAGCCACGCTTTATTCCTCTCCTAAAACCTGGATATAAAATTAAATCAACTGACTTGTTGAGTTTTGCCGGTTGGTTCTTAGCTGACCTCTAACAAAGATACACTAAACATCGCTTTATACTGACAGAAATATCAAAATTGATAGGACGATCAACGTGACCCAGTTAGAAATGTGCTTCTTTACACAACTTGACTGAAAATTTACGATGAAACTGACTAGTAGCAAGGTGGCATACAAATCAAGACAGAAAGGGGGGCATACCTTATATTTTTTGAACGTGTTCCAAAATGCCTCAGAACAAGAGAAAGAAAGACTAAACAGTGAGATCACCAAACATCTTGATACAGGACATCAGGTCAATACCTTGCAATCACTCAGGGTGATCAGTAAGCAACCAAACTCCAGTCTTCTGAAGTTTGTTGAAGCCGTTGTTATCAGACGCCAAAAACCTGATTTATGTGTTCAAAAGGAGATGTTTATTAATCTTTCATTGCTTTAGTGACTAACACTACTTCACTGTATCTTAACATTTCTCCCTTTTTCTTTAAACTCTTTCTTGCATTTATTACATCATTGAGTTTTATTTCAACTTTCTTCCAAATTGATACTTTTTTTATCTACTGAACTTACTAGTTATTTCTATCAATGTTTACTCATTATATAATCACTTGTTTCTAACCGTTTGCACGGTTGTCACAATCAGTGTTGCAGAATTTTCTTTTACATAGGGTATACATTTACGATATTCAGTCTATTAAATTTATTTACACCCTTGCTATACTACACTAATATGCCTTCAATATAACTTCCAACTAAAACCTCTCATGTAATTCCAACCCATTATGTAATTACGATTTTAAATACCACAGGTTATAAGCAGCTGACGAGAACCAACGAAATAAAATGAATTCACGCTATTCTGCTAGAATGTTCTTACTCTTTTCAAAATAATAAAGGGAACGATGTGTATGAAACAAATCAAGACCATAGACTTTAACAAATAACGGAACAAGGTATTGTGAATTCCAGTATAGGTAAGAGATTCCAAATACACTTACCTTTTAACATCAGCCAAAGTACTCAAACTTCGCAAAAATGAACTTGAACCACCTTTACGGAACTCGAATGGGCCATAAGGTTTTTGTGATTTTAGGGATAAATACACTCCACGGCAAGGAAAGCATGGGGCCTTTCGTATAACAAGAAAATCCATATCCTTAATATCGATTTCATAACCTTTTCTATCTTCTTGGGATAATGACGAATCTGCAAGGTAATCCAAATAGGAGTGACAATGAAATTTACCTTGATCATGATGGGGTACCCAGTGAATACTTACTTTTGATCCCTAACAAAAATTGTAATTATACACGAATCCCAAACTAACGTGGTCTGTTAAGAACAAAGTTCCCTTGATTGAAATGCTATCTGCCGGGCACTGGTTTGAAATATGCATCAAGTAGACGTCCTCCCATTTTCTGCAATCAATATTTCCTGCTCCGTTCTGAAAAATTACGAAACTAACCATATAAATCAAACTGTATGCAAAATGAGTTGAGAACAATTGGTACTGTTAACAACACACAAGCGAATTTGAGCAACACAACATCTTATTCATAAAAAAAAAACGGACAAAGAGAACTGACCAATGGTATGTTTAGATAAAACTTTGCAATAAAAGAGATTACTTAAAGCATCTTGAGATAACTAATGTTGAGCTTACGTAATACCTCTATTATGGCTGTGATTTACAAGTCTTTATAACATTTCTAAATATTAGAAAGGAATTATCAGTGATTAACGAAAGTGCATACAAAATGTAAAATTCCTCTCAGAATGTTAAATCTGACGAATTCATATTTGTCTGTATACATAGTTACCTTTCGACTAAATACTAACTACATTCACCTACCGAAATTGATTTTCTCGTCAGACTACTACCGATTAACACTTGACCTTTAGGACACAATAAAGGAAAATATGTTACATTGATGTCTCGGTTCTAAAAAATGCGTCATCTGTAGTAAGAGCAAAGCCTAATTTGTGAGTCCCATATTAGCCACCAACAACACATTTCATCATTACTTAAAGCAAAACGGATTTGTAATGAACACCTCGTAAACAAATAAGAGGATTGAACAATAACAATAATAATAATAAAAGTTCAGGTCGTCAATGAGTTAGGTGGAAAATCTTAACACCAGCTTTCGATCCATGTTAGCGTGTAATTCTGATAACCTCATTTAGTTGTATTGGTAATAACAAATGGCATTAAAATGCATAAGTAGGACTTTACGACTAAATCTAAGTTTCGCAGTTTTTAACTGGAGCTTGGAGACCCAACTACACTGAATTCCCAAAACCGAACAAACCCAATATAATTATATGTGAAACTTTCGATATATTCTAGAGTCACAAGGGTTCAGCAAAGAGGTTTCTCATGTTACTGTAGTGAAATAATGACCCATATAATTACCATACGTTAAACGACTAGCAAACAAACCACCCGCGTTGATCATCTGACTAGACTGATTCATAGAAAAGGATTCAAACAACATTTCACAATTTCGGTTGATATACATCCAGATAATGAATCAAATATTCTCTAGAAACTCCATTCACTAATTCGATGGGATGAACTTTAAAAATTCACACTTTTCAGCGGTCCGAATATTTTGTGACTAGAAGTTACGTAGATCCAAACGTTTGTTAACCAAAAAGGGGAAGTTTTCGACCAAAAAGCTTCCAGGTTTATCTAGCATCGGCAGATCGTTAGTTGTATCAGACGGATAGCCAGATGTATGAGAGCACGTTGAAAGCAAAAATAACATGTTTAGCGGTTGAGAGCTTCAGGGTCATCAATTAATGACTGAAAATACTGTAGTTGGTACCAAGTTCGTAAAGTTACAGCATAATGTGCACCGAAATACACTGAGCAGCAGAAAAGCTGAAGACATGAACCTAATGTCAGGTTCCAGAGTTTGTCCTCCTCTCAAGTTCACAAACACAATTTACCGACGTACTATGATCATCATTCCTGAGTAGTCGAAACTGTTTTTCAGAAGTTAAGGAACTAAAAATTCAGTCATCACTATGTGAAATCAATATATGTGTGAGATTACTGAGGTGTTTGCATGAATCAATGATTCTTTAGTTATTCAATATATGCTAGATTTTGATTTCCGAGTAGAATAAGGTAGTTTGTGCTCACCTTTTTCTACCAGACTGGGGTGTTTGAATCAACTAATGATTCCTTTGTACTTGTTGAATGCTTGATTTCGAATTCTGGATACAGTACATTTGTTTGTGGTTATCTAGTACTTCTTGGTGTGATTACGTTATTTATGGGATTCTTAGTTAGAATGTGGAGGCCCGGTATCTGACTCCATTCAGAGTATATGAATGTTTGTTATCACCTATTCTCGTATATAATCGCCGACTTAAATCACGTTATCCAATAACGGAATTAAATAAGTCAAATAACGAGAACGGGATGTTGAATACATATATTTCGTATGTAAAGTGAATGTAATAGAACAGAGCAAAATGACGCACAGGGAGGATGGCTGGGAAGCCAACTCCCTTTCAGTCAAGAGTTACTCCATATTTATAGGTTGACGAAATAAAGCTACAGACATGTGATTAATGCGATAAGAAGGGCACGCACACATACGCTCATATAAAAACAGTCAGGACTGATAAGCGAATAATTAACAAGGTCAAAATGTGACTCAAGTAGAATGAATAAAATGGGATATCCGCAAGCTAGAATAAGGTATATGGGCTTGGCATAATAACTGACACTACATAGCCCCCTTGTAGAAAATAGTACATTTAAAAAATGTCTGTTTTCGAAAATAACACTGAAGTGATATGAAGTTAACGTTAGCAACAAGTAGCGAAAAAAAATTGTACAACACTCGATAAAGTACAGTAGTGTCACATGAAGGGTGAGTGTATTATATGAAAATGTCATATTTATGTAAAAGAATACATGAATATAGAAAAGGCGCGGACAAAAATGGGAACGTTAACATGCTAATATGAGCAATTTAATGAGCGTACAAAAAATTAACATGTACTAATGCTATGAATGTCTAAACAATAAAATAAGTTTGTGTGAGTGATTCAAAATATCGTAAAAATAATAATAAATTGTTTGTGGGTATGACAGGGAAATAAATCGTGAAAATAAGTAGAGTAGAATACGACAGAAATCGGTCTGTGATGCCGACAGAATAGCGAAATATGTTAAATATATGTTCTGTTGAGCCGCAGTAGAATAGGTAGCATCGATTAGCGATGAGTGAATTTGAATTTAAATGAGTAGTTCCTGTTCATAGGATGATAATAGGCAAGTCGTGAAATGATAACTGCATTGACGGGTGATATTCGTTGCTGTACTGCAATTGATAATAATCATAAAATGTGAAGTCAGTGAATGTTGTCGTCTGCGTTATGACAGATGCATTGAGTTATCGTTAAATATGTATTAGTAGAATGACCAGAGGAACAGAATAGTAACTGAGTAGACGAAGTACGTAGAGTCTTATTCCTTTTTGGTCATGAAGCCTAGAGTGGTTTGTGTGGTTTGAGGGAGATGCGCTCGATCTCGTTTGTTACAAAACCGTACCAAGGCATGACAAAAATACCAATACATATGATTAGCGATGGCGACGTATGAGACTGACTTGGATGTGACGAACAAGAGTGTATCTTTGAGAGACTAGCTCTAAACTCTATGTTCTGACATTCAGTGCAATGGCAATAGAATAGTAATTGCAGTACTCGAAGCATGTTTTTGGGTAATTAATGATGCGGCATGTGGTTATACATGTGGAAGAATAGATAAGATGAACATAATGGTTACTAATCAGCTAGTTAGATGCATCCACAGACATAATAGGAGGCGATTTTGAAATGAAGAATGTGTGTTATGATAACATAAAATAATGACCTCGACTAAGTGAATGAATGTAATATTAGAGCAAATGACATGAAAACAATTGGAACGAACTCACTTAAAGCAGGAAAATTTCATGTTTTGAATGGTAAAAATATTCCAGTGAGTTTTGAATGTCAGAAAGTGGAGTATTCATAAAATGATAATCTGTTCGGTGAGCAATATGATTGCGAAAATGTCATAATTTAATGACAGCATGAACATGATTATTAATTCCACATTCGGTTATGATATTGAGAATAATGTAATAATAAGCATATAATGATACTTCGGATCATGATAGAGCAAACCGACGAATGGATCAATGAGAATAGTTGACATGAGGACAAAGTATCGATGAGATAATGCGACTTGTGCATGTCTATGTCATGTTGCACAGGCTGTGCTGATTGCGTCAGATTAGAGATTGAGCTTGACCAGTTGAGTGTGTTCGTCGAACGTATAGAGTGCAGAAGTACCTTCATCGACGTAGCTTGCTGCGTTGCGTTCGTCGTCAGCGGGCTTACCAATATAGTGGCCCGTGATCTGACTCCAATTCAGAGTGTATGAGTGTTTGCTATCACCTATTCTCGTATATAATCGCCGACTTAAATCACGTTATCCAATAACGGAATTAAATAAGTCAAATAACGAGAACGGGATGTTGAATACATATATTTCGTATGTAAAGTGAATGTAATAGAACAGAGCAAAATGACGCACAGGGAGGATGGCTGGGAAGCCAACTCCCTTTCAGTCAAGAGTTACTCCATATTTATAGGTTGACGAAATAAAGCTACAGACATGTGATTAATGCGATAAGAAGGGCACGCACACATACGCTCATATAAAAACAGTCAGGACTGATAAGCGAATAATTAACAAGGTCAAAATGTGACTCAAGTAGAATGAATAAAATGGGATATCCGCAAGCTAGAATAAGGTATATGGGCTTGGCATAATAACTGACACTACAAGAACTATAATTCAAATATCCGAAATCATCATATTGGCGTCTCGAATGAGTCTGTGATGGAACGGTTGGACATACATTCAGATTTTGATGCTTTTGAAGATTACTTTGAAAGGTTCGAAATCTAGGCTATGACCAAGGAAGATGATGAGGATTTTAATATTTTATCACATTTCCTCATATTCATCGGAAAAGAAGCATATAGCTTATTAAAAACTCTGGCTTTACCGGAAAAGCCCGTTTCGCTTTCTCATACAACTCTCAAGGTTTTACTGCTAGACTATGTTAAGTATACAAATTTCGAATGCGGGTAGGGAGGAAGATTTTGTAAAATGATTCATTTGGATAAAAAAATTCCTCTGCATTACGTCATCTCAACCCAGTGCATACTCAAGATTATGCAGATAATTCATGGAGGAGTTTCGATGCAGTTCACGAAGATGGGCACAGGTTGGACAATGTTTGTTCTGTGTCAGGTTTCACGCTTTTAATTCATGTAAATTTCGTAATTCCAAGTACTTTAAATGTGGTGATATTGGACATATTCAGTCAGATTGTAATACTACTGTTCTTCTTGCTGCAACGAATATTAAGTCTTGTTATACTGATTCTATTAAGTTGAGTATTTATGATGATCATTTGTCTTTATCAATGATTTCAAAAGACAATGTAGACTTGTAGCGTGGAGTCGAGTCGTGGTTGACTATGAACACCACTACAAGAAGTCTACGTGCCAGTTAACCGATAAAATCCCCAAATGGCTGTGGTCAAGATGTATTTGTTGGCGATCTCGTGGTATCGAAAGAAAACCGAAATCGTGCCAAAGAAGTACAAGCGTGGTTACCGGGACTGACCGAACCCATGCAAGGTTACAATTAATGAAGTAGTAATAATATGGCTGTCTTTAGCACAGTTAAACAAAAGGGTACAGTTAAACGATCACTGGTACAATTGGTTATAATAATGATTGTTTCCATCAAATCAATCGCGTTATGCTGATAAAAGTAGGTCACTACAGACTCATATAGCAGTTCAGAGTTAAACCAAACTCAGAATTCTTGCAAGACAACAGTTTCTAATCAATCAACTTATCAGATTTCTCATCTTATTGTACCAGATATGAGTTTTCCTAATGACTCAATTATTCCTGATGAAATTCATTGCAACTCTGAGGATAATATGTTGAGTGAACCTAGTCATGATCGAAAACCTGATGCAGTCTTGATAGATGCTGATTTTTATAATGATCCTTCACTCTGAAATGACATTCTTAATAAATTTGAGGAAAGTACTTCATAAAAAATCAAATCTTGATGTTCTAACAAATATTATTTGTCCTCATATTTCATTTGTTTCTCGTGGAAACTTGTTCAATGCGAAGCACAAGTACTAAATGAGCTCGATTTCGATTACAATTTGGATGATTTCATATCAACCGTTTTTTATCCTTATCATGAAGTCATTTCTAATGTATACTCTAGTCAATATGAGAGATGTTTTAAATGAAGCCACATTATTCATAACTTGGGGACATAAAGATCCAACATTATTTAGTGGGGGAAGATAGTGGTAGAAAATCTATGATTCAAATTCTAGATATTAGTAATTTCGGTACACAACCGACACGGTGATTGTATACTATCCGAGAAACCAAGTGAGTCTGTTCCGATTTCTGTTGTTAATTCTAATACCAATGAGTACATTCTACATAATACAAAGTCTTTATCCAATACACTGTTGGACAAGCACAGGATGAACTTAAGAAGAAAACGTACAACCGATTACAGACACTTAACTCCAATTTAAGCTGAGGCGGATGTGGTGTTTGAATGAGCTAATGATTCCTTTATACTTGTTGAATGCTTGATTTTGAATCCTAAATACAGTACATTTGTTTGCGCTTATCTAGTACTTCTTGATCTTATTACGTTATTTCTGGGATTCTTAGTTAGGACTATAATTCAAATACTCCTGATTATCACACTGACCTCAATTGCTTTGTTTCGGCTATTCCTTGTTCGTAAAATAGTCTGAATACTACTGAACATCACGATTACTCGAAAGTGATTTTCGAATTTCTTTTTGTTTTTCGAGCTGAATTGTGACATGAAAATGAATGAAATCAACTTCTGTCAAAACATTACATTCCAAGGGATTTAAGAACTATCGTAATATTCCAATGTTTTTCTTGATAAATTTGGTTCGTGATGAATTTCGCTGCCATTTGTTTCCGCATTACAATTTTGTGTATCATTTGTTCATTCACACAGATTTTTCCGTGTCCATAATTATCTTGACAGTCTTTTATTGAAGTTGTTTTTAGTGTGGTTTTCCAATTCCGATAAATCACCATGAATCCAAGATAATTAAGCGAGAAGAAAAAAGTTATAGATATGATAAATAAGTGATGCTTTTAATGGGGAATAATTGTTAATATTCGTTTTGGCGATCCAATGTGATTTAACACCAAAGATAGATGTACAAACTTTTATCTCAATTAAAAAGTAAAAAGTCAATAGGTTAGATGAGTGTATGACCGAACGATAAAGAAAAAAATCAATTTAAGGAATATAAGCTTAATAGTTTACATATTTCAGTTGATTTTAGTTATTCTTGAACATGTCTAACCGCTCACTGTGGAATAAAATGTCTGATTATTACTCATATGTAAGTTTTCTTTAAGTAGATTCAGCTGAGAATGTAAACTTAATAAAAAACGTCCTGTGGCCTTCCATTCTGTTTCACGTTCCTCATTTGTTTGTCTCCTGAAAAGAAACAGTTTATTTAATTATGAAGTATTGCTAATTATTTAAAAATATATATACAGATAGATGAGGAATAAATACTGTACTAAAACACAGATTAATGAACGAAGAATATTCTCCTCGATAATTTCTCTTCAGATTCCACAATTATATATCCAAATTGATAAAAATTAATAATAATCGGTCAGGTTTAAGGCAAATTACATCATTTAAAATTATCGTATATAACTTAAGGATTGTCTGTAATGTAAAACAGAATAAAATAAGAATTGAGATTTATAGAGATTGTAGTAGTTTTAAAAGTTGGATTCATGAGTCGATCTAAGGTAGACCGTGGATGTGCACTGCTAGAGAGTCCCATAATAAGACGAAATGGCCGTTCAGTACCTCCAAGTTTTCAATGGTAGTCTCGCTTAGATCGACTCACGAATTCAACTATTAAAATCAAATCGTTAGTGTTGGAGTGACTAATATTAAGTGTTAACTTGAATAATCTAAGGTTATCTACATATGTCTTCGGTATATATAAGCTAGCGTAGCGCATCTCAACATACCATATAAAAAAAGCAAATGAATTGAAAAATATAGCTTGAAATAAAATCCACAAATGAAAATTATGCTCTTACATTCAGTATTTACTCACTAAATGAACGGGAATTACAAGATAATGCACACGTATTGAACATTCAAAGAAAGATGCACTACGACATTTATCCTATCCCACAATTTATCATCTGTTGTTTGGGTGTGTTACAGTTAACTTTACTTTGAACGTAAACAAAACTATTTGAAAAAGTATTATTGACTGTACAATCTAAGACATTACGAATAAACTGATTGTCTAAATGAAATTTCCTCCCGAAACTTAAATAACTGACCACTCATGAGATTTGAACTGAACTCTATTTTGTAGCATACTAAATGAACAAACACTTATAACCATACTACGATTATCATCTGACCTCCATTTCGTTCGACGATTTTGAAACCATGTTTTCACTTGTACATCAGTCATTTTCAACAAGTTTGCTAGCTCATTCCTCTCAGTCGAAGCCAAGTACTTTTGTTGACGAAACTTTCTTTCAAGTGTTGTCACCTGTTAACAAGTCAGAGGAAATAACCGAAAATAAAGTATTTATCTAAATTATACGTAGTTGATTTAAGAAAAGAATGTGAAAAGTATAAACAATAATTAATATACACGTAAATTTTTGAAATTAATTTATTTAAATAATGTTGGTTGCACCAAAGTATGCTTATAAAATGAGCTGGAAATGTGAATTAATTAGCACTCAACTGGGGTTACTGAGTCTAGAATATAACTCAGTCCTTGTGCCATATTGTTCTCTCCATTCTTTCAACTGATGTTCCTATTTATTCGGATAACCCGTGAGAATTTCAAACGAAGTGTACCAAAACATTTACATCTTTCGAATCTAACTGAAAAGGCACTAAAAATTCACTTCAACATTGATTTATACTATTAGCAGATAGTTTGAACAAAACACCACTAAATTTCAACTTCCTTTTGGAAGTTTACAATGATTAGGTTGTCTAGAACAATAATGAAAGCGCTTTTATTCAATTATTGAGCCTAAATTATATTACTGAAATGTGTAGAACATCTTTATCAGCATTTGATAACATCGTATTCTAGAAGAAGAAGATACGTTTCTCATAACAGAGGAAGAAATAGTATGCACAACCATAACAAGAAAACTTAAACCTCGAAATTCCCCATAAATTACTATGAAAACTTTAAAAAGCTGTTCTTACACATAATAAAAACATATGGTCAGTGAAATGACACGAACGTTAAGGATATTAAAATCACATTTTAAAATGCATTTATGTATATTTTGAAATAGGTTTTTTAAAACTCCCATTTTAGCCGCCTTTCGCTGTGACTCATCGACCAGCAAAACTATGACCAATTATTTCAATACTTCAAGTTTTATATGCTAACAGAAACCTTTGAAATCAGTTTCCAGTCCTGAGCAATCAAGCAAGTGTATACTATGTTAAACTTCACTAATCAAAGTAGTGGGAAGACGTTTATCACCTTGTCTTGTAAAATGTTATATTGAAATCCTTAACAAAGTAGCAATAATAAGAACCATCTGTAAAAATCCGTGAAGTACGGTTATCAGTTATGCTTCCAAACAGATGTTAATATGAATTTATTGAAATAGAAAGTGTCCTAGTTGCGAGGATATGAATTGAAGTAAATATTACTAAATATCACTAATACTCTGACCAGTCAGAGTATTAATCATTCTCATTCTTGTCTAATTGTTGGTGAATTGATCTAATTTTTCCAATTTCCAATATGGTCACTAATCTAAGTGGCTCAACAAAGAATAAACCAAGTTTAGCTGTTAAAAAGTTGAAAGCAAAAATAGAAAATCTTGTTGTAATTCATCCTTAACTGGTCCGTCTTGTCCAAATAAAAACAAATAGGATATTGGTTTAATAACAACTACTGATCAGTTTCATGTATAGGTATATGTATTCCAATAATTGTCAGTATTTCCACTGAAAAATAATCTCAGGAACTCTTTCAACAAATTTAACGCGTTATAGTTCTTATGTGTTATGTAGTGAATGTAAGTTATCATTATATTGGTTTACTACATTCACAAATGTGACTGTGTACAGAAATGTGTTTAAGACGAATTGTCAAAGTAGGTATTCTAGAATGCATAACATTATAATTCACAAGTTTAGGCTATGTATGCACTTATAAAAGCATAACTTCCTAAAAATGATTTCATTTTCTATGAATTGTCAAGGCAATTAAAAGTTATTTTATCAACAAAATAAAAATTTTACTTACTTGATATCTTGTGAATGATGCTCTTGGCTTTTTCCGTTTTCTAGGTATTCTACTCTGATAAGGATGTCCAATTCGTCTTGGTTCTACGTAAATATTATTAGATAAATTTAATATTCTTGACTACAACGTTTGAGACAAACAAGAAATATATGCTCACAATGCAACAACTACAATGATAAGCGTCCACAGATGTGGTTTCAAGATTACACACAATGCAGTGATGTACTGTGACCATTAAATTTTGTATTAAACATTTCAATGATGCTTATTAATATTTACTTTATAACATTGGTTGGTGCATAATAAATTTGATACACAACTTAGTACATTATCCTATGAATAATAAGACATGGTTCATTTTCCTTAAATTTGAAAATATCGGACTTTTTAACTGCTACAGTAGTGGAATTTGTCTAATCTACACATTTCCTGTTACATTTATTTAACTCACTTTCTCTTAATACCCATGAAAATACAAGCCTATAGCAATTTAACCAAAATTCAGATACAGTTATTTAACTATATATTGTTATTTAGATATTTAGCAGTTTAATATCATACATAAACCATGCATAATTAGGTAAAGATAAACTGTTATGGAATCGTTAATCTGTAAGCCGAAATCAACTGACATGTTATGTGCTTTCAAAGTCGTTAGTCTTGCCAAGAACGATGGTGTAGGGTGTTATATCTCAAAGGGCCGCCGATTAGAGGGCAGTGACTTATCGATCGGATCAAAGGATTCAGAATCTCGATAGACTATTCTGGTCCGTTGTCCCCGACTCAGCTAACTCGATCAAGAAGTCTTGGTAAGGCGTAAAAAGTGTATTCTACAGGCAAACAGCAGATACCAAGTCAGTTCAAGCACACAAGTCAAGCGTATTTATACAAATATTTACAATCGATATTTGTATAGTAAAATGTTTTTAGACATTAATCAGTAAGTTCATCAATCGACAGGCATTCAGATATTTAATCGATAAGACAAAATTACAAAATCTGAATTCTGAGGATCTATCGTCCCCAACATAGGGTTTACAATATCCTTGGGGGGGTATTTTTGACATGTACATTCTCTTTGTATTGTGATTATTTTGATATATGGTCTATTTTAACTCGTAATGAATATGTTTTATTTTTCGGAACTAGAGAGTGAGTAATAAGTTCAATCAACTATTAAGCATGGAAGAAATTCTGGATATAGTACTTTTGCATTATTACCTGACTTCGGTTGGACAACCATTTAAAACCAGGTACTCCTAGACAGTCATTCCGTTCTAGTATGGGATACCTCATCGATCTCATCCAAAATCTTACTAGGGATCAAACCTAGGATCTTCAGGGTTCGTGACGAGAAAGTAACTTTTAAGTTAATGGGTTGACATCCAGTAGTTTAAATTTTCAACCTTGATTCATCTTCAAAATTGCATGATAATCATTCGGACTAAATTGTGATGGTCATGAGGACTGAAGATCCCGATTTTGATCACTCACAATGGAAAGATAATTCGGAATATCACTGTAAAATTAAATGCCTTTAATAATTCGATTCACATCAGTGATTATGTTGTAACTTATAAGATTATCAACAAACTTTCGATTGAAATATTCCTTTAATTAGAACTGAACATTGTAAATTTTAGCTGTTCAACACAAAATACAACTTTCTTAATCATGATGAATTTGAGAATTTCTGCATTAGATCTTGAACCTTAAGATTAATTTAATCGGCATTAATTGTAATTGTAAGTGATTTATAAAAAAAAAATAATAAAATTTACAAATATCTGCTGTTACTATCGCTTATCACTATTAAGTAGAACTTAAGTTTGTTTTGATAATATGCTACCATAAAGTAAACAACATTGAATTCGACTTAAACACCCTCTTATGTAAGTAATTGAACCTGTGGATGAGATTCATTTTCATGATAACATATAATGTTCATTGACTGCATTGCATTTCCACTTTATGAAACGGAAATAATGATACATTTAACTTTCTATACATCACTTAGAAAAAATTCAATACGAAATAAAATTCACTTGATATTGTTTACTTGAATCTTCCTGTTGATGTTTAAAACTGCAATTGATCAGTCTCTTATTGGCATATGTGCATACTGTACGGATTGCCTCGATATTGCCTTAAGTCGCAAGCATTTTAAGCAAAGATGGTTAGGTGCTAGCAGTAGAATCCAGGACGCGCTTTTCGTCTTATTTTAGACTCGTCAGTTGGATGTACCTGTATATCAGAGTGGATATTCAATATGGGATACGAACCCAAAACCATTCACTTCAAACGCCATCATATTATCCACTTACCAACTAAGTTCTGAGTTTTAAACATCAATAGGAAGACTCAATTAAAACAACATTAATTGAATTTATAATTCTTAACATTGATATTGAATTAATTTCAGAACCTACCAATAATATTATCTTTAGATAATTCATTTGAATTATTAGTAAATATATATGTTAAATATTTTATAATTACCGGATTTGTTATATGATATTTTGTTTTTATTTCATTCAATAATTGATTATTAATAGTTGAATATTTAAATGATTTTAATATATTGATAAATTGTTTAAATTGTTCAGAATTTAAAATATATTGAATATTTTTATTATCATTATTATCATTTATTAATAATTCTATTGTTTGTTTTATATTAGAATTCATTAAAAACTCTTTTAATATAGATGAATTCAATGAATGATTTGATGATGTCATTAAATAATTATAATTATGATTCATTGAAATTGATGATGTAATTGTTGTCATAGGTAATATTATTTCATTCGATTTATGTATATTAGTAAATGTAATTTGTTTATTATAATTTGATTTTAATATTTCATTAATACTAAATTTATCTGACATTGTTTTTTTAAATAAAAAATTATTATAAATAATTTAGATTTTATTCTTAAATTAAATCTTAATCTATATAGTATTAGAATTTTGTAAATAGTCTCTTCCTTTTTCATACTCATTTTATTGATATTTAATTGGATAACAGAATATATTTAAATAAGATGAGTAAATTTTAAACGGATTGTTATATGATTGGTTAAAATAATTTTTTTAATGAAAAGAAAAAAAAAAAAGAAGAATACAATTTGATCAGATGTAGATAGATGATAATCAGTTGGGTAGATAGATAATTTTCTATCTGATGGGGTTTTGTGGATATTATAGTAATTTCAATGGTTAAGAGCATGAGTCGATTGAAGCTGGGCCATCATGGAAAACCTAAAAGCACTGGATGGCCGTTTCGTCCTACTGTGGGACTCCTCAGCAGTGCGCATCCACGACCACGGCACTCGAGATTCGAACCCGGGACCTGCCGATCTTAATCACTTAACTATTGAGCTGGCTGCCTTCCAACGGTTTTAATGTCTAACTTTGACTAATTCACGAAATTGAGCAACACATCCACCACTATCTTCAGTGAATTACTATCTCACAATAGACCTGGTTGAACTCCACTGGTTACTACTTCTCACTAGAACTCCAGAAAATACCTCTTGAAGCCAGTCACTAGTGAGCATATGTTGACTAATATCAGATGGGTTTTGTGGATATTATAGTTATTTCAATGGTTAAGATCATGAGTCAGTTGAAGCTAGACCACCATAGAAAACCTGGAAGCACTGGACGGCCGTTTCGTTCGTTGGACGCCAGCTCACTGGCCTAGTGGTTAAGTGGTCACACGCGAAACCAGTAGGTCCTCGGTCCAAATCTTGCAGGGGGTGAGATTTTGGATGCGTACTACTGAGGAGCCCCACAATAGGACGAAACGGCCGTTCAGTGCTTCCAGGTTTTTCATGATGGTCTAGCTTCAACTAACTCATGATCTTAACCATTGAACTAATGTTCTACTGAGTTTTAAATAAACCTTAGGAATAATAAACTATAAACCTATGAAACTCCTCTTATGAATATTATATTGAATGAAATGTAAATTACAATCTATCATACCGTATACTGTTTATTGGAATTTTTAAAACTTCTCTAAGATTATTTAAATAAGGATCTATCTAAACAAAATGAAAATTGAATACACAAGTCAATCTAAGCTAAATCATTATTGAAAATCTAGAAGCACTGGATGGCTGTTTTGTCTAGCTTAGATTGACTCATAAATTTAACATTGAAAATACTATAATAAACACAAATCCCTAAAATTGAAAATGAAAATTGGCAATACATCTCTACTACGAACAAGAAATGTAAAGGAACAATATTGTTTTCAATTAGATTCTCATTATAATATACAGTGATAATTATGAGCATAAATAAAAATATTAAATCACTCAAGGTAGTTTATAAGTAAATGATAAGAACAAAATAAAATAAAGAACTTAAAATGATCATAAAGTATCAACTAACAGTAGGATAATAGATATGCTAGCTGTGATAAGAATAATAAAGGCTTAAAATAATGTTTCGCAATACGGAAGTAGGTTAAAGACTCGGGAAAACATAGACTAGAATAACATTTATTAAAAGTTGTTAATGTTACGCAATAGTAAGTGTTCATATAATTAGTATATTGGTAAAAGGGTTGAAGGAAACTGTTAGCGGGACATAGGATGGATTAAAGCATGCTCAATGCATGATTGCTTTGGTGCACGCTGATTGTCTAATTCTTATCCAATCAGCACTAGTCGATAGTTGGAGAATACTCTAGAATCTTCTCACATAAAAACTATAAATGTACTGACGTTTTCTCTATTGTGCTTCCTACTGGCTTCTTACTGGCATCTTACTTCCATCTAACCTTGTTATTTGGAATATAATCTCTTTCCTGTTCAACCGTGTTCTGATTTGGGGACTTGTCGAGCGAATCGGTGTCCGAGAATACTAAGCAATAGGAATAGCTGGGTTATAACCGTAAGAAAGAGATTATAACAGAAACGAACGATTATCAAGACTACTGGCGGCCTGCTTGAATATCTGGGCTACCTGTTCCTCCGATCTACATATTTCATCAAGTTATCTGTTTTGTTGCTTGTTTTAGTTCATCATTATGTCCTTTGTGCACACAATCTATTCAGGCGCGTTTATGAAAAGTTTACAACCTTTCGCTATACGTGATACAAAAAGGTACAATCATCGACATCATGGTGGCTGGCAATATGCATTGAAACGAACGAACATTAATCAAATGTGGATTACCGAACTCCTAACATCTAACCGGTCATCATTCAAAATTTATCGTCACAATAGATCAAGGTATAAGAAAAGGAAACTTGTTGAAATACTTTATGCTGAGAATTCTATGTTGTACCAAAAATATAATGTTGAATAAAGCTTCTAATAATATAATAAATATAATATATTAGGATGGATATTTTGATTTATTGACATACCAAATTTGTAGAAGTGCCAATAAATTAACATTTCATAGAAGTGAGAGTGATTCTGTTCCCAAACATTCATTCATGATCTATACCCACTCTTGGCTTGTGGTCAACTCTGTGTCTCATTGTACCACGGTTTACTTAACCAACAAATTAAATATGAAGAAATATGACAATAAAAAAAGAACAATTAATAATGACATCAGTTATTTAAATAAAATCATATATGAATTTGAGTTTGAAACACTTTATTAACACATATCACTACATTCAAGTTAATATGACAAAAATGAATTTAGAGTTAGCTAGAAGAATGTAATACTTGGCCTTAATGAAACTGAGGAGGACTATCTAATAGCTAGGAATGTTTTGTTCATTGTTCTCTACCAATCAATGAATATATAAACTGTATAGGTAGTTCACCATTTAAACAGAGTCTAGTGATAACTTATAGTAAACTTTCATGATTGCTTCTTCATTAGGTGATTTTCGCTCCTTGTATTTCATGTGGAACAATAAACTCTTGGTAATTACGTTCAGAGTAGTTTGCGTAACACTATGTCTCTGTTTATCGCTAGCAGCTGTTTTTTTGCTGATATTTTTGATTTACTATAGAATTTGTGAATTTACAGAGGTTATCTTGTTGTTTGTTATCAAGAATCGAAGTTTATTTTAATTTTAAACAAAAGTCAATTATTCATTCACATCATAATGACCGTAAAAAACACGTATACACTATTAACTAGCTTAAAAATAAACTACGGAAACTCTAGTAAAAAATCATGGTTAGTCAAGTTCAACCATTCCAACAGTGAACCAGACATCATTTAAAGCATTGGATGATATCACAAATAAATTAAATTTAAGAATTTAGTTAACGAAAAACTGGCTCGCCGTCATAAACTATTTTGCTCAATGTAAAATCTTAAGGTTTAGGTTTCGGTTCACTGTGAGCAATCTCTGTTATGCAATAATGAAGAGTAGCAAACCACGGTGAAAAACAACCTATTTCATGATCACTATTTTTCAGTGATTTTTCAGTTAACGTTTATTCATAGAGAAGGTTAAACTGTTTCTACGGTCTTTCATCTTCAAAGTTATGAAATTTCATAGAACACAAGTGATAATTGTAACATACTTAATAAATGATGTGTAGACCATCACGATTTGTAAATATCTTTTAAACAAGGTGGTTATACAGCATTATTAATTTTGAGAATATATAACGGTTGGTATAAACTGGAATTTTAGAACATTCTAAAATATAGTTATTTCCCTTGTGCTTATAACTTCATGTCATAAATATAAATTAAGTGGCAGGATTCGTGAGAAACCATCTTTAAGTTTCTTAAAAAGTAATTTCATTTTCTCACCGAAGAGCTAAGGATTTTGATAAAAGTCATGGAGCATCAAATTTAAAATAAGTCTGATTCCTGTCCCATACAATATATACAGCTTAAAGTACTGAATATAGTATTACCCAAACACTTAACTCAATATTAGATTTCATTGGCTGGATAGTAGACCGTGTAACATGGGTTTATAATCAAAGATAAGTGAAACATGATTGAGCTAACTTATCACATATATAACAAACATCTTACAAGCTACATAATTTCCACATTACGTAATTAATCACAACTTTATTATTCAATCTTTCTACAGTTTATATTTGTATGATTAAACTACTCTTTAGATGTTGTAACACGTTGTTTCGGCCACACTTTCGAGTTATAGATATGCCTTATACAGACATAAAATGTAGTAAGTTCAAATGAATCTGTCATCTAGACAATCTTCAAATATTGTAGATCACTACAATTCAATACAACTCTTCTTAAAAATTCATCAGATTGCATACTATCGACTTCATCTATGATTCAGCGTAACGATCCTAAATCATTGTAATAAATAATTTTCATTTGAATTGGAATATAATAGACATTATTTCTAGACATCTTTATTTTGTCCAGTAAATTTGCGCAACTTTTATTTGCTTATTGCTCTTCCTAGACCGATTCACGTTACGCAAATTCAAATTTGTTTTGTGGCGGCTCACAACTTATTTTTATTAATGTATCCAATGAATAAATTTAGATATCCATATTCAGACACATAAGGATTAATAGTTGAATGCATGAATCAATTAAAGCTAGACTACCATGGAAAACCTGAAAGCACTGAACGACTGTTTCTTTCTAGTATGGGACTCCTCAGTAATTTGAGATGGTGGAGAAGATTTGTAGCTCAGGTGGATGATTTTGGTGGAGTTTTGTTTTCTGAGCTGGATGGTTTGGTCGTAGAGCTTTCATCGTTCTTCTGAACGACATCATCAGAACAAACTTCAGATAGAAGTCTGATGTCCTTCAGAAGAACGATGAAAGCTCCACGACCAAACCATCCAGCTCAGAAAACAAAACTTCACCAAAAACTCCTCAGTAATACCCATCTACGATCCCGTCCTCGGGATTCGAACCTAGAACTTATCGGTCTCGATCTTAAACTCATAAATTC